GCTTTAATCATGTTAAAAGAATGCAGAAAGAAAATGTCTTGAATGGATTTGCCAATTTGGTCTTTCTTTCAATTTTGTCTTTTCTTTCAACCGTATTCTTATTCTGTATTCTGCTTCTGTTCATTTGGGATCTGATTCTGCTACCTTTACTGTCATTGTGTAGTGCCCAACACCTCCAATATTCCCATTGATTTCAAGGGGACTCATCACAGAGTAAGGTACCACTCAGGATAAGGACATTTTCACCATAGTGCTTGGTAATCTTCCTACTCTGTTACCTGTATAATTAATGCTAAGGATAATTTTTTAAATACACCTTTTCTTTATACTTCTCAAAAGCTAATCAGCTATCTGTTGATTTTATCTCTAGTATGACAACTACATTAATTTCTCCAAAGGCTTTTGGTCAAGCTATATGCAAAACAAGTTAATTAGAAGCAAGTGGCAAAATATAATAGGGAGTTGATTTTAAAGCAACAAAGCTAGTACTTTTAGATAATAGAGATTTTTTCCATGTTGTTCTGATTTCATGAGGTTTTATATTAAACTTAACTCAAGCAATTTACATGAGCTCTATAACTAAAACCAAAATAAATATTTTCTTATACATACACTGCATATCATTAGGGAAATGTAAAGGATAATGTATTTTTGGGATATTATTTCAGGTTTAGATATACTAAAAGGCATCAAATGGAAAAGCTATCATAGTTCATTTTGTGAAATTATTTCAAGTCTCTTGTTGCTATAATAAAGCAGAAATGAGAAAGGAAGAGATAAATGCTTACATTTGAGATAAAAAATTATCCAAAAGCCCAGTGAAGTCCACCAGAGTTGTTCCATTGCTTCACTGGACTTGATTATATATTTTTATTTGGATGTGACATCACTGCCAACTCTATGTGTATGCAATTTTTTTAAACTGTATAGCTTTCAAAACTCACAGGAGTGAGTAAATTATAGGATTGGCAACCCCCTCCTGATGATCTTTGTTAAAAAGAATTTTTGTTGACATTTCCATTTCAGTCAGGGATTGTACTATCATGAGTTATCGGCACTGATGAAAATTTGAAACGAGTGATCACAGAATCTACATGGCTTCACTAAAACAATCAGAAATTGATGCTTGTAAAACTAATACTTATTTATGATTTCATTTTTCAAACATGGTGAGTACCTGCAGTTCTCATGATTTTATTGGCATTTGTGATCATCCACCACTTTTGAAAAATCAGAACATCTGGTTTTCATGGCCTAAACATATGTGATACAGGAAACGTGCCTATGATTTCTGCCACATAGATATTAAAACAATAAGTTAAATAGTGTTAAAATAGAGGGTTTGCTTTTCCGTACACTTTCTGGTTTTATTTTCACTTATCAATCTGGAGCACTATAAGGTGTGTCCACACAGCAAAGTTATTTTGGAATAACAGCCATTATTCTGAAATAACTATGCGAACATCTACACATCAATTATTCCAACTTCTGTAAACCTCATTCTACGAAGAATAACACCTATTCCAAAATATCTATTTTGAAATAAAGTGTGTGTAGACACTCCACGTCTGCTATTTCGAAATAGCCCCTCACCAAGGCCATTCTAAGTTATTTCGCCTGGGGCTCTAAATCGACATAGCATGTCTACATTAGGCTTCCCTGCAGTGTAGACATGCTATTCCGAAATAACTGTGCAGTGTCCATGTAGCTTTAGTGTGTGAAGACACATGGGGCAAATTCATAACTGCCCTGCTCAAATCCTTTGTGCTGCTAAGGTAGTGCAAACATCTACATTTCCTGAACAGCTACAGAACCAGTATAAAAAGCACTATTGCAACCCAGTGCAGGCTGACTACATAGCCAGAATATGCCATACTCTAGCTATCCCCAGCTGCCAGTCAGTTGTTTGGGACTCTTGCCAGCTGGCACATGTTAGAGCAATCTACAGCAGGGAAAGAACCAAGCAGACTGGCTGCTTAATGGCTTCCCCTCTGTTGCTTTGACTGGATCTTCATCACAGCCGAGAATCTGCCTTGTGTGTTATTTTAAAGCTCTCGTGAATTTGATACTCATTTTTATTCCTCCACAGAAAGCTAAATTGACACTTGTCCAATATTCTGTTTCTCTGACATTATGAGGGCCTCATACCTCTTATTAGCCTTGGACTGTCATCTTTCATCATCAGACAAATGCTGCTTGAGGAATATTTATCTATCCATGAAGAGTCTTGGGGTATGTCGACACTTGCACCCTTGTTCAAACTTGGGATGCAAATACAGGCATTCAAAATGGTCAATGAAGCGGGGATTTAAATATCCTGCGCTTCATTAGCACGATCTCGCTGGCGTGCTAGTTCAAATCACAGCTGATTCAAACCAGGAAGTGCGCGCCGGGACGCATTAGTTCGAACCAAACCTCTTGGTTTGAACTAACATTACTCATTTTTTAAAGATTTTATATTGTGTGCCCTACCAAATTAAACTGGTGTCAGACCGATGGAGTGCTCTGAAGCTGGGGTCATTAGAAAGGGCACAAAACAGCTACAGGCAACAATTTATTCACGTTGGTGCAGCAAACATTTTAAGTACTCCTGTGTTTTCTGATGGAATCTGCTGACAAAGATGAGAACAGGCAATGAGTCGGGTCAACGCCTCAGCTTATACATGGATAAGAGAGAAACACTGCATCTACTACACAGTTCTCTCCCACACTGGGATCCAGGGGATCTCTCTCCAGCGGCATGCCAAGCACAGGAGCCTCTACTGCTTTTTCTGTGTGGAGAGGGGGCAAATCACATCTTCTCAATGGATATGTTCTAACTGGAATTTGAAAACTGCGACACACCCCGCCAGACATTGTATGGTGTCATTCTGCTCTCTGTTGTCTCTCTCAGAGATAAGTCTTTGCAACAAATCACTGAGTGCAAGACCAAGGATGCAGATCAGTACTGTGGCTAGTTGGTGTGCTTTTTCTTCCTGTGACTTAAATAACCAACCTGCCTCAGTCAGTCCTAAAACATTAATGGTGTAGGAAGTGATTATGTTTAAACAACACCTTCACCTGCATACACACTGGAGTGCTGCAAGAAATGCTCAGATAGGGACATATTACAGTTTGAGGCTGCATTAACTTACCTTTGGGTTCCCTCTAGGGATCCATCTACAGAGTGACAAAATAGCGTTCTACGTGTCTTAACAGCAAACCCATTATTTTGAAGTACATTCAAAATAATGGGCTTGTTACTCCAACATCCCTAAACTTTGTTGCACAAGGATTAAGGGACTCATCGGAATAACACTTTATTTCAAAATTAGCTCTGTTTAGACAGCACCACATTTCGAAATAGACTATCGTGAAATAAGCTACGCAATTTGTGAGGCAGTGAGCTACGCAATTTGTGTAGCTCAAATTGCATAGTTTATTTTGAGCTATGTGCTACTGTGTAGACATACCTTAGGACTGCAGCTCTGCAGCCATACAGGAAAACCAGCCAATGAGAGCACATCACCTGCTCTGTCCACGCTGTTGGGTGTGGAGGGAAGGCCACTGGAGCTACACAGACATAGTCATGCACAAATCGGGCTCCTGCTGCAACAAAACCATATACCCAGTTGACAATGCAATACCAGAAACTTCTCGCTACTACTGAGGGGAGGAGGTCAGCCTCACAGGATTTTGCTGGCTCTTTGTGGGAGGGGGCAGACTGCCCCAATCTTCCCTCTAGTCTGCTTTATTATGCCTATCTTCTAAATCCCACCAATCACATGATCATAAAAAGAGCAGCAGCTGAGTTAACTATCATCTGTACTCTCAGAAAGACGGCAGCTCAGGCCAAAAGTGATGTTTAAGTAGCATAATTATGCACAGTATGGTGAGGCAGGAGTGCAGAGAAAGCCTTCTCTCCCATGCTCCTTGCCTCTGCATAGTTATGTCTGGTTGGCCACCTTATCTAATTCCATTTTTGAAAAACCCCATAGTGAGCCCCATTCATGGGATTCTACAAGGCTTACTCCTGGACAGTAGCATGCTTGATAAGCAGCAAAAGAGCCTACTGTAGTACTAATGTATGAAATAAACAGAATAAAAATGATCTATTCATGCCCAACAGCTCCTTTCCAAAGGTGAAGACTTTGGGACAGAGTCACTAACGTTACACAGGGAAATTCTACAACTCCCTCCCTTGGGTTTTACTTTCCCTCCAGGAGATCACTGCATAGGAAGCTGCTAAGATGTAGCATTCCTGGATCAGCCCACCTTGACCATGCTTTTGCACCCAACAAATGCCTCACATTGTTCAGACTGCACTGGGCTTCTGGAGGCCCAGTTGGAGGAAGGATTATGGCTGTTGTCCATTCTCAGGATTGGGCTTATGTTCGTAGTCAGAGCTCTGAGCCTCTCCCCATTAGAACCTTACCGAGAAGCTGGAGTCGTCAAGAATGAATACGTGTCTTTAAAAGGGTCACGTCTACATGAGCTAACTCACAATACACCTCTTTACTTGACCCTCACAAGTTCAGAATGACAATGGATTTTCTGTGTTTTCTTCTTATGTTAGAAACATCAATGGCAGCCACAGAAATAGAGTGTGGGATTGAAATGTGTTACTGAACTACCTGAATGTAGACCCGAGCATCAAACGTTAAAAGACACACCATGCCCCGGGGAGAAACCTATTCTACATTGTTACAAATGGGCATCTCTCAGAAACTAAGTCACTTATCCAGAGTCACATAATCACTCAGGACCAGGGAATAGAATCCAAAAGTATAGATTCCAGTTTCCTGGTCTCTAACGTGAGCCTACAACTCAAGCCAGCAGTTACTTCAGGTTTTGTCTCTTGAATAAGGTACAATATAAAATAACTCTGGGCTGCCTCCGCAAGCCCCGCATCAAGGAAACAGCCCATTTAAGATCAACTTGCCCAAGGACTGTTGTCAGTGAGATTAATGTTGGCTTTTGTATTGGGTGAATCCGTGATACTGTAAACTTTCCCATTGCAGGTGTCAGTTCCATGCCAATGGAAAGGGACCATGTTGAAGAAATGGTGAGTAGCCATATCTCATAAAATGTTTTCTTTAGCAAGTTTTCATCAGAATACTTTCCATCACTTTTTAACACATGGAGTAACATTTTCAAAACCACTTAGGTGACATAGGTATCTAAATCCCATCAGATTCCAACAAGATCTTTAAACCCAGAGGCTACGTCTACACTGGCATGATTTTCCAAAAATGCTTTTAACAGAAAACTTTTCCATTAAAAGCATTTTCGGAAAAGCGCATCTAGATTGGCAGGATGCTTTTCCGCAAAAAGTGCTTTTGCGGAAAAGCATCCTGCCAATCTAGGCGCGCTTTTCCGCAAAAAAGCCCCGATCGTCATTTTCGCGATCGGGGCTTTTTTGCGGAAAACAGTACTGTGCTGTCTACACTGGCCCTTTTGTGCAAAAGTGTTTCAGAAAACAACTTTTGCCTGAATGGGAGCAGCATAGTATTTCCGGAAAAGCACTGACAATCTTACATGAGATCGTCAGTGCTTTTCCGGAAATTCAAGCGGCCAGTGTAGACAGCTGGCAAGTTTTTCCGGAAAAGCGGCTGATTTTCCGGAAAAACTTGCCAGTCTTGACACAGCCAGAGAGTTACAAAGATTTTTAAGTGCTTCCTGCACTTAGTGTTGCAGAGCCTAAATCTCCTTTTCAAAACGGATTTAGGCAGGTAGGAGTCTAAATCCCATAGTCAATAGGTTTTTGGCTCCCAAGTGCTGAAATCCCTCACAACATTTTGTTTGCCATACCTAACTAACGGAAAAGCCTAACAAAAGTGTTGAAATCCCTTCAGATAAAGAGCCAAAATCCTCTTGACAGTTAATGGGATTTAGACTTCTAAGTGCCTAAACCCATTCTGAAAAGGAGTTTGAAGCTCCTCAATCAGTTGTGTGTGCCAATACTGTGCTCAGCAATGTTTAAGTACCTTTGAAAATCTGGGCATCAGGTACTTTTGAAAATGGGACTTGGGCACTTTTGAACATTTTTATCTTACGTTTGCCTAAAAAAAAAAATCTGAAATATTCATTTGAATAAAACCAAACATGGTTGGTTTACAAAAAGTGAAGTCACAAACCTGAATAAGTGTATAAGTGTCACATTGCTGTAAGTGTGAAATAAGGAAGACTGGTTACTGATTTGATGAGGAAATCCTCGGGCTTTTTTCATGAAAGATACGAGGGTGATCTCAGCTCATATGATACATAAAGGCTGTGTCTACACTGGCGCAATCTTGCACCAAAGCAGCCGCTCTTGCGCAAAAACTTGCTGGCCGTGTGTCTACACTGGCCGTGTGTTCTTGCGCAAGTAAACTGACGTTCTACTGTATGAAATCAGGGTTCTTGCACAAGAACTATGATGCACCCGCTCAGTAATAAGACCTTTTGCGCAACTGTTCTTGCGCAAGAGGCCAGTGTAGACAGGCAACATAAATTTCTTATGCAAGAAAGCCCTATGGTTAAAATGGCCATCAGAGCTTTCTTGTGCAAGAGAGCGTCTACACTAGCATGGATGCTCTTGTGCAAAAGCACATGCCAGTGTAGACGCTCTCTTGCACAACTACTTTAACGCAAGAACTCTTGCACTAAAGAATTTTTGCGCAAGATCATGCCAGTGTAGACATAGCCAAAATGTATCTGGTGCTCTCATCAGCCACATCATAGCCTCTACTCAGTTCCCATTGGCTACCTTCTGACAGTCCAGACTACAGAGCAGCTTCAAGCATTTAAAACAGGAGTGAAGAACCTCAGGCCCAGGAGCTGGATCCAGTATTGGAAAACCTCCACTGGCACTCGGGCCCCCATGCTGCCCTACTGCGGGGCTGGAGCACACAGAATCTACTAGCTTAGGACCCACTATGCTCTTGTGTGTGAAGGAAATGTCAGGAGTATTTTTTTCCCCCAGGGACCACGTCACTGAGGTGTTTGCTGGTGTTTTTTTTGTTTTTGCTTTTGCTTTTTTGGCTGTGGGTCAGTAGCCCCCGACCCCAAAAAGGTTCCCCACCCAATTCAAAAGGGGGAAATTTGTCACAAAAATGTTTTCTTGTATCCTCACAACCTCCTCCCTGCAATTACATTGCCCTAAGGGCCAGGAGAGTAATATTTGTGTTGTAATCCAATGAGATTGGTGATTGTGCATTATGAGACCGATCTGGAGCTTTAAACTATTAAAAGAACCCTGAAGCTCTGTATGTTTTGTTCTTAGCTCTAGAAAGCCCTTAAAATTACATTACATTGTAATTTAAGAAAGAAGTTATTTTCGACAGGGCTTTTTATTTTAATTTTTTTTTTACATTTTAGTGGTTAATTTTTCTTTCCTTTGGAGGACTGCACAGTTGAACTTCTGCTATGAAGGCCACATCTATACTTATCACACTGGAGACTGATCTGCTAGCATTCGATTTAACAAGTCTAGTAAAGACCCACTATATCGAATGATGAGGGCACCCTGGTCAGGCCCCGTACTCCTCGATTTGTGAGGAGTAAGGGAAGTTGACGGGACTATTTGCTCCTGTTGACCTCCCATGCGGAAACAACGTCATGCTTGGTGTAAGGTATGTTGACTCCAGCTACGTTATTTACGTAGCTGGAGTTGCATACCTTAAGCCGAGCTTCCAGGTCTACTATAGACCACCTAAGAGTCAGGCATTATAACATAGACCACGAGAAAAATACTTAGAGACTCTATATAGCATTTTTTAAATAGTTGGCTGTAAAAGGTGTGGCATATACAGAATATACAATGGTGTGATCTGCTTTATTGGCACTCCTGAGCCATGTGCTCATCCCAAACTCAGCCAATAAAGCCTTTATATCACACCACACCCTTGTGCATACTCTACAGTGTGACAGCCAGGAAAGAGATATTTCAGCATTCTGGATTTTTCAAGTTATTTTTCTAAAGGTTTCTGTTTAACATTACCTGTTGTGACAGAACTTCACACTTCTGTGGAGTGTTTGCTGTGAGGAACTCTACAAATGAGTAGACTCTTCCCAGGCGTTCCCTGATAGCCCCAGGGCAGCTCTGCAAGTGCCCCCTCACTTTCCTTTTTAAGTCCCCAGTAATTCTGTGGAAGTTCGTCTTCTAGTCCACCCACAGTTTATTAATAAAACAGTTGAAAACTCCCAAAGCACAATTCATATCACCCCAGTGAAAGTAGCCTCTATAGCTCCCATATGCTCTGGGTTACTGGCATAACACATAGCACATTCCAGCACCCTGTGCCACACTTAGATTCTGTCTGTCCTTTTGCCCCTCTGCCAAGACAGTGACCCCCAGCCCTTCCTGCCAAAGGGCAACCCCACTTTTGCCGAGGGGGAGCCTCACAGCCTGCTGGGAGTATCTACGGCAGCGTAGCATTCGCACTCTCCCAACCCTCTCAGAGTCCTCAGAGTCTAGCTCTCCAGCCAGGAGACACCAGTGAGGAAACCTCTCCAGTGCTACCCGTTTCTTCTGCTCTCTCTGGCCTTTAGCTACATCTCAGAGCCATCAAGCCTCTCCCTCTGCTAGTTCTCCTGGCATCAGCCCTCCGGTCATGTTTCTGTGGCTGGCGGCTGCCAGGGAGCAAATCCCTCTTTCTATTCTTCAGCTTTAGCCTGGGAACCACCTTCTCTCTGGCAGCTCTCCTCTCCTGCCCTTCCTGGGTCTGTCTGCTTTGACTCTTCCTGATAGACTTTTCATAGCCCCCACTTACTGCCTTGTCCTCTTCATTGGTTCAAGGGGGAGCAGGTAGACCAGAACAGGAAAGCTGAGCTCAGTTTGATTTAATGGGCCAGTTATGAGCTCAATGTGATTTACATATTAATTAACCCAAGTGATTTGTCCAAGGTCACACAAAGTCAGTAATGGAGCTGAGTATTGAAACCAGACCTCTGCTCAAATCACCAGACATGAACCTTCTCTTTTAAAAATCATTTTACCAGTACAAATTCTAAAGGTTGCTGACATTATTATTTGTATACTAATTATACACAGAAGCAGCGATCAGATGATTTTGCTAGGCACTACACAGACACATAATAAAAGGTCCACTCTCAAAAATCTTATCTAAGCAGATAAAAGGTGGAAGAAATGAACCATTAACATCCCCATATTTTTTATGTGGAAATGAGGTGGAGAGATATGAAATTACCTGCCCAATGTTATGCAGGAAGTCTTTGGTAGAAATTAACCCAGATCTCTTTGAGTCACAGTCCAAAGTTGATATGCCAAAACATCTCTCTGATAATGCATGATTGGACATGTGTAGAGTTTTTAAAAGTTTTACATTTGAAATGTGCTTTTCTCCAACTACTGCTTCTTCTAGGTAACACGATGTATAGTGGAAGTTCTCTCTACTGCTCTGTCTAAACCAAATGCTCCACCAATAAACCCTCTGTGCAAAGATATCCTTAAGAAGAGTAAGTGCAATACTAAATGAATTTGAGTTACTCATTGAATAAGTGTCATTGCTGATGAAGAGAATTTGGTAGAATGTGACAATTTTATAAACAATGATTATTTTTATGATGTGTTCTCATTTTATAGAGCAGATGCATTGGCATTTTAATTTCATGTACAAGAAAAATGTCTTCAAGGTTAACAGTAATTCTTAAAATTAATTTTTTTCTGTGCTCTGAATCCAAACCACATTTTGCAAAAGTGTTATGAAAAGCAATCATTTGTTTCTGTTGTTCCCAAATGCAAATATGAAAACATGTAATTTTGCAACGGAAACAGGAGAATAACTTTTTCACAATCTGTAAAAGTCGCATTCTTATTGATGAGTCATGCTTAAAATTAAGTAATCTTTTTTTTGTGTGAGCAATCTCACTCAAGTAAGTGGGACTACATATGCAAGCAAAGAATACTCAGAAGAGTAAAGGGTGGAGGATTAATTCTCTTGTTGATGTCTAACAAAATAATGTTCAAACAGAATGCATTCTACCCAGCATTACAAACATGAATATTATAGGGCATAATCCTCTTCCCATTGATTTCAGCATTAAAACTAACATTCCCTTCAATATATTTGACTAATCTAGGCCAGCCTTGACCTGGTGGCTAACAATGGGTTAAGAATCCCAGGCTAAACCAATTAGCTGGCCAGACAAAAGACAAGGAAACAAATACCTGATGTCCTGTCTTTAACTTCTCTTGAAAACCGAGAAAATAGCTGAGTTTTTCCACAAGTCCTGAAAATGAACAGACTTGGACAAAATAGAGAATGCATTTCAAAATGGAGGGGGTTTGCCAGTAGCTGCCTCCTTTTTAAACCAACAATGCTCCAACTTGAGTGCTTTGGCTGATGACAATTGAATCAGCGTTACATTGGAGAGAAGTAGGGTTTCAAGTAGACAGGTACCAGTCTATTCAGTGGGTCATACCCAACACCTTAGAATCTGCCAGTGCCGTTCCAGAGTACTGGAGTAATGCTCCAAGGAACTGAAAATTAGCCTCTCAGGTCTTACACTAGTAGCAATTCTCCTCAGTGTCCTGGAATTTAGCACCCAGAGACAGGTACTGACCTGCATAGTTTATTAATAGTCATAGTGAACTGTGACTCAACTTAATAGTGTGGCAAACTACAGTATTGACTTCGTTTTTTCAACGGATGTTTAATTACAGAAAAATAAAGACTGGCACTTACCTAGCAAGAAAAGCAATAATAATAATAAAGACCACAGTTGACATTACTCACAGTAGAATGATAATTCACAGCATAACACAATTAGAATAGGGTGATTGTCAATGCTTTTCAAATACACCTGGCCCAAACTTGGAGATTTAAAAAAAAATCAAGAGTGATTTTGAATGTTTCTTTTTTGCTGCCCAATTTGAAGCCCCCTAGAGTTGCCTAATTTTCATAAAGGGGTGAATGTCACACCTGTTTAAGGGGTCTCAAGTTAGAAATAAAAAAATGGAGGGCATTGAAAAATCATTAGTCCTTTTTGAAAATCTTGGTCTTGTGCTACTGTATTCTCTCTCTATATAAAAAAGTTTTTCCTGACAGATGACAAAATGTGTCAGTCGGGCGACAGAATGACATCATCAGCATCAACAGGCTCTCAGCAAAGTGAAACGGATGGGGGTGGGTAGGGGAGTGCAGCAAGCAGAGGGCACAGCCCCCTAGTAGGTCATTAAGCTGAGTGTGCTTATCCTTACTACTGTATCTGAGACCCAAACTGATAGCAAGTGGGACACCTAGCATTCCATTCTTGACATCCTGTCATATAGTATCTTATTATGGGCACGTGTTAGCTCTTTTTCACTGAAGCAGAACGATTTTTGGGATGGTGGGGGATGCTATAAATTTACAGACCTCTTTCAGGCAGACAGACAGATGCTGTCTATTCAAGGTAAGACATGTGAAACAGATGTTAGTCTGCACAGCCTTTTGATGTGGATTCTGAGCTCATTCACATTGGTGTCAGCTGAAAATATTTCCATTGAAAGCAGCGGAGTTACACTGCCTAGGATACACTTGAACCTCTTCGATCCAACAACCCTGGGAAACAGGGCATGCTGGGTTAAAGATTTTGCTGGGCAAGGGAGGGCGCTATGGGGTCTGGACATGAGGGGATAGGGTGCTTACCTGCTGCCCCGTTCCCATGGGCACATGGAGCAATGTGCTTCCCACCACTCCCAGGTACCCCCTCCCACCACCATGGGAGCGGCAGGAAAAAGCCTCAGAGGATACGGCTCTGAGCATTGCCTTCCCCTCTGCTGGGAAGGAAGGGGAGTGGCAGCGCACAGAGCCATTTCCTCTTCCATACGGGGGGGTCCCGGATTAGGAACACCTGGAGTAAGGAGGTTTAACAATACTATTACAACCAATATCAGAATCAGGCTCTTATTTAATGTATTGGCAAACATCATAGTGTGTGTGTGATTTAGGTCTAATAACTACAGGATCATAACTTGGTATCACTTTGGTACTATGAATTCAAAAACCTTGAAATACTTTTCTATTTACTTGGAGTATCCCATTCACTTTGGATGGACTTAAGGTGCATGAATTTGAACAGTTGAGGACTGACTTTGAAAGGTGCTGAGCATTCCACTGACTGTAAAGTGAACCAAAAGTCCTTAATAGAACAGCTGGTTGAAACACACTGGCAAATTAAAAGAAACATTGGTAATTTCTTATATTTTAGGAGATTTGACCAGCTTAAAAATGCATTTTATTTTTTCACAAAGTCAATCTGACCAATTTAGCAAGCATTGAAAACTAGTCCACTTCTTCTGTCTGAAGAATGTGTTAATGAAGAGTTGAGTTAACATTGTAAATGTTTGTTTTTTGTAGGCAGCAGGTATAACACAGCAGAAAAGAAAAATGAAAATGAGGAGCAGCTTGAAGTGAGGCATTTGCAAGAACCATCAGAGGATGAAAACCATCAGCAAGTGAGTGTGGAAGAACAACGAGGTCGGAAGGAAGAAAGCGAGGAAGAGAAACACCTTCATGAGGAAGATGAGAGCAGAAGTGAGGAGGACAAACACAATGGGGATAGTCACTCTCATGAGACTAGAATCCATAACAGAGGAAAAAAGCACCGTATGAACGTAAGAGGTGAGGAAGAAGAGGATGATGATGAGAACAGCTATAAGAGAAATAACCACAGTGAAGAAGGAATCAAAGAAAAGGGGAATCATGCTGAAGACTCAGAGGCAGAGTATGAACTTCCAGACAAAAGGTCTCACTCCAAAAGCATGGAGGAGTTCTCTCCCGGGGATGATAAACTCTCTGAGAGCCATAGGCACTCTGAGGAAAAGATGAACAGCAATGAAAAGAGACACCATGAAAGTGATGAAGATGAGGAGCAGGAAGTGCAGGAGGAAGAGGAGGAAAGCAGTGAAAGGTATCGCCATGAGTCTAAGGAACACAGTTCGTACCAGTACAGAGAGCATGAAGCATCTGAGGAGAACGAAGAAGAGGAAAAACGACGCTACAAACCAAAACATTATCACAAAAAGCACAGAGTAGGTGACTCCTCCAAAGAAAGGCAAGATCACGATAGTGAGAAAAGGAACCCACTTGAGGAACCCAATGATGATGAGAATCGATTCTGGGATAAAAAGAGCCATGACCAGAAACACCATTACAAAGAGCCAGAACATCACCTTGAAGAGAAGAGGAGGTATGGGGAACACAGCTCTGAAGAGTTGGAGGAGAAGAGGCACACTGGTCACGGGAGCGAGTACAGAGAGCAGCGCCATCAGAACAAGAACAGTGGAGAGGAAGGCCAGAGGTACCACATTGGTGGGGAAAGCGAGGAAGACAGACATGAGAAAAAGAGGTACCATGATGAACCACGTGAGGCGGGGAGACATCACTATGAGGAGAAGAAACACCATAGTGAAGAGAGTGATGAAGACCTCGATAAGCACCATGGTCACAGAAACAGGGATGAGAAGAGACATCATGGCGAAGGCAGACACCACCTACATGACAGGGAAGATGAAGAGACACACAAGCTGCACAGTGGAGAGAGCAAAGGGCAGTCAATGAGGCCCTATAGTACTGAGGAGTGGGATGGGGAGGAGAAAAGGTACTATCCTGGCTACGAGGGGGATGAAGAAATAGAAAAGAGACATTACAGCGAGAATCAGAAACAAGACAATGAGGATAGTATGGAGAAAGTGAGGTATGGGGAAGAGTATAGGAGTCACTTCCCTGCCGACAACGCAAAAAGGGCTGCAATGCGGTACAGTCCCTTATACCACCACCTACAGTGGAAAAGCAGAAATGATGATAAAAAGGACAATATGGGGGAACAGATTCTGGAAAGTGAACAGGAAAGCAAACCCAGCGTGAATGAGAAGAATTTCTTCCCAGAATACGACTACGATTGGTGGGAGAAAAAGCAGCTTCTGGACAGTTTGAATCATGGGCCTGGTGAGAAGAGGACTCTCGGAAAGCTCCGCAAACTTGATATAAAAAGACAGTATGACAGGATGGATCAACTTGCCCAGCTTCTGAATTACAAGAAGAAATCGGCTGAATTTCCAGAACTGTACAATTCTGGGGAAGACCTAAAAAAGCGTCAAGTGATCAGGAGTGACAAGGGAAGTCTCAGCCAGAGGCCTCTGACAGAAGAGGAGGTAGGTGTTTATGGGGTTTCAGTGAAAAGCTGAGCAACATTGATATTCCTTAATAAAAAGCTCAGAATTTAGATCCAACCTATCAGGAACCATTCCAGTAGAATCTCCGAGGGAAACCTCGCAAAAAGTGTAGTGAATTTTCATTCAGGGCCAGATCCTCAGTGGTTGTAAGTCAGTATAGCTTGGCTGAATTCAGTGGCACTCTGCTGATGTTCACAAACTGGAGAGGGTACTGTATGGCAAAAAGGGCAGTTGGCATGGAAAAAATTCTGATTTCTAGGACAGCCGCACTTTTGCAAAATATACCTCTTCTATGACACACACCGCACACTGTATCTGGGAGATTACCGAAGAGAAAGCAGTGCTATGAGACCAAAAGCAAAATGACTTCCACTATTCTACAAAAGTTCATGTCAGTGATCACCTTTAACAAAAACCCCTCACCATTCTCTTGAGACATCTAAATCACAGGCAATGACTTTCTTCTTCTTGGGTGTGTGCTCCACCCGGACCCCTCCCCCAACCCCACCCCTTTTCCCAAGGCCCCACCCATCCCTGCTCTGCCTCCTCTCAAGTTTTCTTCCCAATCCACCCTCCCCGCCCCCAAGCACACCATGCCCTTACTGTGCTTTCCCCTGCACTATTTTTTTGATTGATGATCCAAACCCAGAGCAGCCACAGCGTCGGCGCCTGTGAACTGAATAACTTTATATCAGTATTTATAATATAAAATAGTATTTCTGACGGCAAACAGAAGGGAATACAAGGGGATCAAGCTATTAAGGTACCTTTATGTACGGAAGGGAAAACTGGCAAGTTATGAGACTACTTAATTGTTAATATTTACCCAAGTTATTTCTTTACTGTGGGAGAAATACAATCTTCCACCACAGTATTTGAGTGCCTCACAGCATTTTAAAAAGTAGTAACATCAGCTACATAAAAGTAATAGAAATTTAAAATAATCATTAGGACATCAAATACATCCCTTACATCAATATAGGACCACTTTCAGAACTCCTTACTAAAGGTAGGTAATCAGATTTTTTTTGTTGCTGTCCATTGGCTATTTTGAAATGTGAAGAAAGTCAGCTCTAAATCAAAATAATATTTTTTGAAATTTTCAGTGAGGCTCATTTTGGTTTTTGGCAACTCTTAATTTTTTAAAAAATAAGAGGTTACTTTTGAAACAATCTCTTCAAACTGAAAAATCGAAACGTTTTATTTTGAAAATGACAGAAGGAATCAATTTTTAGAACTTTTTGGGGGGGGGTTGTATCAGAAATGGTTTTGAAATTAATTGTTTGGTGAAACCAAACACTAATTCGCAAAACATTTTGGTATTGCCAACTCTGCATTTTTCCACTGAAAAAAGTGGCAGTTGAAAAATGTCACTCATTACTACTCCTTATCCAAGCAAACATATCATTGAAGTTAGAAACTTCAGGGGTAGCCGAGTTAGTCTGTACAGCATAAACTTAAAAAACAACAAATAGAAGTGCTACCAGACTAACAAAACATGTAGATGGTATCATGAGCTTTCGTGGGCAGAGCCCAGTTCTTCAGATGCCTGAGTAAACAGTGCTGACTTGGGCTTTACCTAGTTCAAATAGGAATTGATTCAGGGGAGCTTTATGCCTGTGTCACGTAGAAGGTCAGACTAAATGATTCACAGTGGTGCTTTTTGGCTCTTATATCTCTGAATTTAAAATTACATGGAGGTGTGTTTTGGTAACATGTCCTACACTCTATTTTTGGTACTACAAAATAACATTTACCTATCTGTTCCATGCCCTAAAATAATCTTGGTTTAAATGCTTCATAGGAAAAAGAGCTGGAAAATCTGGCTGCTATGGATTTGGAACTGCAGAAAATAGCTGAGAAGTTCAATGTTAACAGGAGGGGATGAAGACTGTGTACAATGGTGCATTTCAAAGCTAAGTGTAGCGTTACTTACTTAAAATATTTATATTTCTTGGTAATTCACTGCCACTGAAGTATTGTTTACCCTAAAACAGGAAATGCAATTTACTGTCCACTGAAGTGTAGTGATTTACACAGCTCGAAATGTCTTTAATTTGCAATTATGCTACTGAGATCCAACTAGCATGAATTCTAGTATATAAACTTACATGTAAGGCAGATATTTTAATATGCTTGTGAAAATAATTGTGTTTGTGTTCTTCAGAAATATATTTGTCTGAGTTTGAAATAAAAATATTCATCTTGGACCAAAATCCTTCTCCTTGCTTGACTTGTTTTGGTCTAATTTTTGTGAATATTTTCAAATAACCCAGATCAGACAAACAGATGTAAATAAAACACTGAAATGTAGTTTCTGTATGTTTATTTCTGAAGCTTAAAATAGAAACACACATACATTTTCTTTATATTCTAGATCGCAAGAGCTTGTAAAGTATACCAGAATCTTGATAGTTTGCACCAATGACTCAAATTTATTGTCAGAAAATTAGTTTTGTAAATTAGCTGCTATGTAAACATACATCAAAAGTAAGGTTATTGTATCACCAAATACACATGGTTGTTTATTTTGGCAGTTCATAATGCTTAATATATTAATACATTCACTGTGGTAGACTATAAAAGTAGAGTCAAATTATACCACACTTGTACAAACTGAGTAGTTCTTTGGGAGTACTGCCATTAACTTGTGTGAATAGGTGCTCCCCCATTGTAGAGGTAACAATATCTCATCAATCTCTCACACAATACCACACTAGTCATCCTTTGTACAGAAATGCCAAGCTATAAAGCAAATAGATTAGAAGGGTTCTATGGTATCATCCTTAGATGGACCAACGGTGAATGAGCAACTGGTACAGAGCTTGGATCTCCATAAAACAGTCTGTCCTTGCTAAGAACAATGAGTAGGAGGGCTGTAGAAACATCAACTCATGAATCATATGCCACCACACAGCAGCATAAGGAATTTTCCTTTAAATAGCTTCAACTGCTATTTGTGTATCCTGAGCTCAAGTTTAATCAGATTTATCTAAGTGTTAAAAAAAATTGCCATGACAATGTCTCTCTTCACTGTATAACATGGGGGAAGAATACACGTGTTTAAAGTATAACATGTTGCCTGCATGTATCACAGCATATGTTCTGCTTGGACTATTTTAATCCAACTAGCCACCTGCTTATTAAAGTATTTCATCCTAAATCTAACAGTGCAAAGCAGCTCAGAACAAAATTACATTTTAAGATCCTCCTCCTGCAAATACTTAGGCACATGCTAGTGACACTGAGTTAAATGGGGCTACTCAAGGGCTGGAGTCTGTCCCATTTAAGTGACAGAGCAAAACCCTAGCCCCACTGAAGGCAATGGCAGTTTTACTATTGACTTGTATGAGGACCAGGATTTCACTGTAAGATGTCTCACTTCTTATGCAGGCCCTAAATGTGTGAATAAGTGTGTGGCCTGCAAACTTCTTTCAGACTTGACTCCCTGGAAACACAACATAATGCTCTTTCTCCTCCACTTCCTACACAAGAAATATTTGCCAAGAGCATCAGCGGTGAGCAAGCAGTTTTCAGAAGCTTCTAGGGATATGATAAATCCCCCTTTTTTAGAATTCAAACCAAAATCAAAGTGACATCCATGAGAAGTACTGAATACAATCATGTTCATTATAGCATGTAACATTTATAATTCACTGAAGCTTTGCTTTAAAATAACTTGATTTAAATAAAGATTCATATTTACAGCAATCATTACTCAGAATAGTCTTAGGATATGTGCTATGGGGAAAATATGGCCATACAATGTAAATGTGAAGCTGCTGAAAAGCCTGTCAACCACAACTTACTGAATGTGTGCTGGGAGTCAGTCTCAAAACATAAGTAAATATAGATTTTGTATAAAAATCATTTACAATGCTAATTCATAGGGAATAATGCCCTAATATTTTAGCTAAAACATAACAATTTAATCTGCATTCAATACACATAATGTTCAAATCTGGCAAAGTATTCTGGGTAAAAAACGTAAGCAGAACTGTATCGCCTCTCTGGCGGAAAGCTATTTATAAGGCTCCAACGCCTCCTCCCCACCAAAAAAAAAAAAGCCCAAGCTTGTGGTAGCTCTGCTATTTATAAAGCCTGTGTTCTGCTTTCATTATTCCACAGGGCTGATATACCTACCCACAAGGGCTGTACTTAGGGTGCTTTCAAAATGAAATACAGAGCCCACTTCTATTTTTGGATCATGCCAACTGCAACGGGCAGCCAGCTAAACTCTACTAAGCAAAAACAAAAACAAACAAAATCTTTTCCCAAAGCTAGTTCTGTTCCCTGACAATTTTTCCTTGTCAAAATTCAACTTTCTAGCAACAGGTGTTTCAGCAGCAGTTGCTTAACACTCTCCTTTCCCCTGCTAACACACATGCTTAAACAAACAAACAAACAAACAAACAAACAAAAGATTTTTCACTCTTATTCAAAGACCAGCACAACTAGTTTTATTCAAACTTTCAAAAAAGTCACCCTCTGACAGGGAATAGGCCTGGACTATTTCATTTAATTATGAGCATCTGGATGCAAGTTCTTTAGTAACCTGAATTAGAGATCTATTAGCATTCAAGCTGTAACATGGGCACATCAAACTCGCCAACTGGCCACCAGTAAAGATTTCAGTAAGGTATTCAGGCTTATCTTGATAAACATTGTTGGTCCTACAGCCCACATTCCTCCTGTTCTTATAACACTGACAGGTTTTTTTTTTTGTTTCCTAACATTTCTCACTGTGATCTTCCCTTCCTCACTTGATTCACACATTACTCTCTACTGACCTCTTGGTAATTATACAATCATATCAAATTACTGCGTGATGTGGACTTTAAGGACTGAAATTCTTTTATCTTCCACAGTGGCTGTTTGGCAGCCACCTAGATTTATGGTCCACATGACTGGTAATACACCTATGTATCCAACCTTCAATATTTCACTTGACTGCTAATACATGTCTTATATTAAATAAATGCTTATGCCCATCTTACAAGCAGCGTTAGCTCTTGGGGGAAATGGAATTACAGTGAATTTTATAATTAGGTAATGTGGTTCAGTGACAGGAATTAATACCGAAAGAGATTGTTAGACAAAATGTCTAATGCAAATGAGATCAAACTAATTTGAGGCATCTGGTTTTCAAAAAGTAATTTCTATGTTCATGTGTCTGTCTCTTCTACAGCTAATTTATTTTGTCACTGAACTACACATTGAAAGTATCAGACAACATTTTTTTTCTTGAATTAGCACATATACATTAAATCCTCTCTCTCATGTTTCAAATGGGGGTAAATCCAGTTTCAAATGTTAGGTTTTGCAATCAATGGTAACCTTAATATTTATCACACGTACAGAGATTTATACCTTTGCAGTACTGGAAAGGCAACTTAAGCATCTCAAGAACTCAGTGAAAGTGGCAAGTATCTACCAGTTATGTCTTATAGAAAAGGAAACTGAGACATAGCAATGGAGATTTAAACTAACATTGAAATGCAGGAAGTCAGTGGAATTGGGATAACTAATGAACTCAACTTCCATCCCCATATCCCTTGCTCTGAGCCACATCTCACTTGGCAGTAATATAGATGCACAATAATTTTAAGTAGGGCTGTTGATTAATCACACGGTATTCTATTATTTAACAAATTGAAAGGTATTAAGTATTTTTCAATGTTTTTCTACATTTGCAAATATTGATTTGTTATAACGCAAAATACAAAGTATACAGTTCTCACTTTATATTATCTTATTACAAATATTTGCACTGTAAAAATGAAAAATACTATTTAAATACACCTCATGCAAATATTGTAATGAAATGCCTTCACAATGAAAGTGCAATTTACAAATGTCGAATTTTATTACATAACAGCACTCAAAACAATACAGTGTAAAACTTTAGGGCCTACAAGTCCTCTGTCCTCTTTCCTGTTCAGCCAATTGCTAAGACAAACCGGTTTGTTTACATTTACAGGAAATACCGTTGCCTGCTTATTTACGTTGTCACCTGGAAATGAGGCTAGGCGTTCACATGGCTCTTTTGTAGCCAGCATTGTAAGACGTTTGTGCCAGATATGCAAAACAACCACGTACCCCTTCATGCTTTGGCCATGCTTCCATGCTGATGACTATCGTTAAAAAAAAAGTGTTAAAATGCATTCATTCAGGGTAAATCTAATCACTAAAAATGTCAACAGTTACATGTTTACACATATGGGATGGGGGCGGTGGCTTTTAAGTATCAAAGGCAGCCATGTGGGAAAAAGGGGAAGCCACATGCCTCCCTGCTCTGCTGCCTCTGATACAGGTGGGATATTTTCTGTGATGCTGCCCAGGCAGGTGGGAGCTAGTGCTCAAGGGGGAAGACAGCTTTTAAGCTAGCTCCCCATGTGCACTGGCTCCCACACTGCTGCCTCTGTATCAGAAGCAGTAGCACAGGGCTTGGGGAAAGAGAGCAGATGGGAGCCACTGAGCACAGGGAGCTGTCTTAAAAGCTGGTTCCCCACGAACACCAACTCCTTCCTGCTGGGGCAGCAGTATAGGGAGTATCCTGCCTACATACAGAAGCAGTTATGTGATTGTGGGGGAGGATACATGTTTATACTTTCATATCCCTAGTGTTAATTAAATTTGTGACTAAACTCCTTGGAGAAAATTGTATGTCTCCTATTCTGTTTTATCTGCATTTTGCCATGTATTTCATATTATAGCAGTCTTGGATGATGACCCAGCACATGTTCATTTTAATAACCCTTTCACAGCAGAGTTGACAAAACGCAAAAAAGGTGCCAATGTGAAAATTCTGAAATAGCTGCACGGTGGTTTAAGAATCCAAGTGTCATCCAAAAATCTGAGAGGGACAATACGTGGAGCAGATTTTCAGATGTCTTAAAAGAGCAACACACCAATGTATGAACTACAGAACTGAAACCACCAAAAATGACAATTCACTATCTTCTGGTGACATCTGATTCAAATGATGAAAAGAATGTGTGTCGGTCGGCTCTGCTTTGGATAGTCATAAACATGTCCACTGAAATGGTGATTGAAGCATGAAGGGACACAAGAATTCTTAATGCATCTGACCTGTAAGTATCTTGCAACACTAGCTACAATGCTGTCATGAGAACCCCTGTTCTCGTTTTCAGGTGACATTGTAAACAAGAAGCAGGCAGCATTATTTATTATAAACTGTAACCAAACTTGTTTGAGCAGTCGCCTGAATAAGGAAGAGGACTGAGTGGATCTGTAGACTGTAAATGTGTCACATTTTAATGAAAGATGAACTTACAAATGTAAAATTATGTGCAGAAATAAATCTTGTACAGAAATAAACTTCATTCAAAAATAAAATCAAGACTGAACTACAGTACTGGTATTAGGTGAATTGAAAAATATATATTACAGTGCAAATATTTGTAATAAAAATATAAAGTGAATACTTTGGATTCTGTGTTGTTACTGAAATCAATATGTTTGAAAATGTAGAAAGCATCCACAAATATTTAAATAAGTGGTATTCTATTATTGTTTAACAGCACAATTACTTGTGTGATTAATTGTGATTTTTAAATAGCAATTAATTTTTTAATTGCTTGATAGCACTAATTTTAAGCCCCTTTGAAATTCCCAATCTCTGTTTTCACTGAATTCAAGTGTATTTGTGAGATAAATAATTCTTCACCTCACTTTCCCCCTTCCAAAAAAAGGTTCTAGGAAAAAAAAAAAATCAGATTAATTTCAGCAAGTAGCTCTCTCCAGATAAGTAATTAAAAGAACATTAAGTCATATACTGGATTTTTTTAATATACTGCTTCCTTGCTATTTGTAACACTTTCACCATTTCCCCAATATAGTCAGTTTCTTCCACTTTGCATGGGCCTTTCAGTAACAGGGGAGAGAATTTTCATAAACTAGGAAAATATGATTGTCAAGGCATAAATTAGCAAAGAGATCTGGAGGCAAAAAAGGTCAATATGGTAGTTTACTCATGACAAATATATACATATCTTCTTTAAAATGCACATATTTACATTTTGATTAGATTATTAGCTAGTAAAATGTCTCAGAGGGGTAGCTGTATCAGTCTGAAACTTTAAGAGTCCTGTGACACCTTAGAGGCTAAAAAAATATATTATGACTAGCTTTTTAACCATAAAAGCTCATATTATATTATATTTGTCAGTCTCTAAGGTGCCACAGGACTGCTTGTTATTTATTGGCTAGTAGCACACCAAAAATGTTAACCTTATGCCTAAGGTGTGCAACACTTTACATTTTAATGTAATCTAATTTTTTTTTTAAATACACACCCGAAATATAGCTTCCATCCCTGAGCTATGATTCTCTATTAGGATTTGAAGCCCTGAAATCAAGCAGAGGCCTGCTGATTCCAGTGGGAGACTCATGGATGTAACAGTCCATGTTACTGGATCCTAATATGTGATTTGGCCGATTTATTATCACAAACTCCCCCTGCCCTCACCCAAAAGCTTTTCTTCCCCCAAAGAAGAAAATAAAACAAAATGTCTCTTTTCAGAAGAAAATTCACGAGAGTTTAATTGAAATGGCAAATGTGAAGTATTTTGTCATTAATAAAAATTCTACACAGAAAAGAGACAAAACAGTAAAATAAATATGGGAAATTTCAAACTGGTCACATTAAAAAGAATAAAAATCAATACAAATCCAGATTTCAAAAAAATGCAATACTAATAGAAAACATTTTAAACATTTGGTATTTTAATTTACCATCATAATACCTGATGTTTTTCATTTCTTCCTTTCAGGAACAAAAAGCCAAGATATGATGATTTGGTTTCTCTTTCTTTTCGTTTTCCCATTCAAATAAAAGTGCATGATTTTGCTGCATTGTTTCTGCTTGGGTTAAAAAAAAGTCACTTAAAATGGCAGGGTTCTGCATTTGAAAAGGAAATCAGATTACTATACATCATATTTTAACCTGCTTTAGTTATAAAACAAGAAGCTAATTTAAGGTATCTTAATTTAAACCCTACCTCTGTAAAGGACTTCAGAGTCCTATTAATTTCTGCAACCAAGTAAGATGGTTTCATTAATCCATGAATCTCAGCCCTATAGTTTCTCTCTCAATGTGATCAGAAAGTGTTTCTGAAGTTACTGAATTGTTAATGTCTCTGTTGCTTAACTCTGTCAAAGATGTTCTGATACAAAGTTACCTCTAAAATTTCTCTCCTTCCTGTCATGTTACCAGAGGAAACTGACAAAAATCTTCTCTAGAGTACAATTCTGCTTCTATTGACAGGCGTGTAACAGGCATATTTTTCTTTGTTGTCAAGAGCATGAAAAGTACATCAGATACATTACTAACTGTAAGACTCTTGAGAACTAAAAGTACATCAATTCTCCAGATGTTAACAATGAAGTTCTTCAAGTTTGCGCTTTTTAGACACTGGCTCTTCAATTTTCTGTGCTTCTAAACTGTTGGCATCAGATTGGACCTTCTCCATGGTGACAGTGATACCTGATAGAAGGTATCCCCCACCTCCACTCATCATCAGTTTTGGATGGCTGCGATCTGGCAAGACCTGTACAAAGAAAAAAAAAAAATCAAACATTTTCTGTGAGAGCATATTAAAAAAAGGAATTTAGGCAAAACTTTGAGAGACTAGAATATTTTAGCTATAAAACCCAAAGAAGGTTGGAGAAGTGCATTTTCAGTATATTATGCAATGATAATTAATCCTTTGAGGATTGCAACTCATTTTTCCCTAGGAGACAATAGAAATACAGAGGGGTGTGCATGGACAGGTTGACCACTAGGGAAAACAGATTTATCATGAAATTACCATAGAGAAGTTATAAATTATTACACCTGGGTATGTGAAGTAGAAAATTACTGAAAGCATCACAGGTTCCTTCGTGTTCCTAATCACTGAATCTTTCCAAAAAACATTCAAAAGCCTCACTGGTAAAACATCTCATATTACTTACACAGCAAAGAACAGCATCAGTCCATTGTTAGTTTATCATTCTCATCCTCAGCGAATTACCAGAGTGGAAAGAAGCTTAACAGAGATGCTATCTTTACCATAGAAAACTAATTTCAGTGTGAAAAAATCTCCGCTATCAGATATTGCTATCATATTTCTACTCCAATAGTCTAAATTATCACTAGATTCCCCCAAACCAACATACAGAAATTCCTCATTGACCACAGCTAACCTACCGATGGACAGTGTCAATAAAATGCAGGATTCTCTTTAACAGATGGACAATCTGCTTACAAATAATAAAAAAGCCCAAAATAATGGGCTTGCTGTGAAGACAGAGGATAGCTATTTCGGGATACTCTGGTACCGTGAAATAGCACTGCAGTGTAGATGTACCCTTTACTGTTCAATAATTTGTTCTACTAGCTTTCCAGTTATCAAAGTTTGGCAAAGCGGTCTATAATTCCTCAGGTCTTTTTTTATTCCCCCTTTTAAAAATACACTACATGTTTGCCCTTCTCCAGACCTGTGGGCTCTCACTTCCCCTAAATATTCTTTAAGCCGTTTTCCTATTCTGGCTCATTTTTTCACTCTTGTTGTTACTACTGTATTAAGCCTGCAGTCACAAATAACCTCTTTCGCGTGAAGATGGAAGTTAAATGGGCATTAAAAACATCATCCTTCTTGTTGTCCTCTTTTTTTTTTAGCTCCCCTTCTCTGCTATGTAGTGCACCTACACTTTCCTTTGTCCTTCTCTTACTCCTAATGTACTTACAGAAATTTTTCTTATTGCCGTTCATGTCCCTTGCTATTTTAGACACAAGGAGAGAAGTTTGGATAAAACTACTAATTAATGAAAAGTTGAATATTTGAGTATACTTTTTTATAAGACTGCATTTCCCTGACATAGGCATTCCCTGCGGCTCTTACCTGATAATTTCGTAGCCAGGTTTCAGACAACTTGAGGTTAATAACACCACCTTTTTCTCTCAGCTTTGTGTAACAGTCTAATAATGGCTGAAATTAAAAAAAATGAGTTAACTAAACTTGTCTCAAACTTAAAATATAACAATATATACATAAATATAAACACATACATATATTATATATATTTATATACACACAGATTTACTTGATGCTGTTCTAGTCCTTAACTAATTTTTTGTTTTTTGGAAAATAAAATGAAAACGTGCTGCTTCATTTGAATCATTGCTCTGGGGTGGGGATGAGGGGTTCAGTATGCAGGCTGCCCCAGGGAGAGCGGACTACCCCAGCCCTCTCTCACTGCAGCAGCTTGGAGTCAGGGGCAAAGCACCTCTCCATGGCCCTGCAGCTCAAGTGGATATAGCTGGGGTTGGGATGCAAGATCCCTAGCTGGAACAGGCACAGGTTTGACTGCCCCCTGCACTCCCCAGCCAGAATGAGGAATGCAGCAAACTGTGCACTTTCCCCTTGCTGCCTGACGAAGATGAACAGCCAGTAATGTTTCCAGAGGAATCTGAGGGTGGGGGAGCATCAGCACTTCCCTACCTCCTTAAAGGATGCCTGTGAGGTATGAAGTTTGGGATGGGGGCAGTCCTGGTTTGGGGGGCAAGTGGGTGTGCCTTTTCTGTGTCTCTTCTGCATGGTTTTATGAGAAGCAATTCTATTCCAGGCAAAACCAAACTCTTATCTTGCTGCATACCAAATGTGCTCTTTCTAGCTCTTACCATTTTGGAGGCGTTCTTGAACAGACAGACAGACTCACAGATAAACTCTCTCAATTATAGAGTAGATTTTATTTACCTCTTTGTATTGGCAATAGACAACAAAAGGCCTAGATGGAGCAACAAATTCCAATAAAGAAAGTAACAAAGGAGTTGGATGGAACTTGCTGGCTACAATTAAACTGAAACAGAAATTTTACAGGTTAGTTTTCTGCTTCCAAATGGGTAAGAGACCTGATTAAAAAAAAAAAAAAAAAAAAAAAAATCAGACATCGGACAGCATTAAGCATATAAAATACATTTTTAATTACTATAATGCAGTTCTCTAGAAATCAGGTTCCAAAAGTATATTTCCAGTTTATTACTATTTTATAGACATTAAGGGCACTGGTTTCAATATCCTCTTTGTTGACCAGCTGTTTAGTTTCATTTAACGGATAAAAATTGTAAAAATGCTAGATTTTTGTACATTTTCAATTAATTCAGTTTCAATCCAAATGTAGCCTGACTTAAATCCATATATAATAGTCATCAAGTAAAGAAGAAATGTGTCATTCACCATTTTCTAACTTTTTAAAAAAATTAAGAAACTGAATAAATCTGTTAAGCTGCACAACTGCTTAAATAACAAATACAATATATCCTTTTGGTTATCAAAGCGAACCACTAAGTTTAACGTAAAGGCTATATTTGGCTGCAAATCAACATATTTTAATGGCTATATCAACCCAGTGAGAAACTAATTTTTCTAAAGAAAGGTTCAACATACAAAGCAAAACAAGATTAAAATCAAATTATTTAAATCAGGGTTTACTGCTTGCTGATTTAAATCAATTCACTACAGCATAAGTAAGCTTCAAAATAAAAGTAACATAACAAGAGCTTCACAAAAGTACCTGTGTTACTATGCGACAATTTTAATACCCGCAATAACTCCAGTCACATAGAGAACTAATGTGCTTCCTTTTCTTCATCAGTATTATTCAATATGGACAAAGATGTTCTAAGATTTCTCTTGCTAATATATGCTTTTTATCATATGCAAGTTTCTATGCTTGTGATCATGTCTGTCCTATGAGTTTTTTTGCTACATCCAATTTTCTCTAATCTACGTTCATTATGATTTTATAAAACAGAGATATAGTTCCAAAAATTCACTTGCTAGATTTTTACTGCTAATCAATAGCTCTGACTTATTATTTCAATGTATTTTCAACCCATATTCTGTAAACCAGGCAACTGCTATTTAAATGTAATTGTTCATCTAAAAAAGTTTATAACTTAATACTTATATTCCCATTTGTGACTCAGGATCACATCACACAGAACTACTGAAAAAAAAGAAATTGAGTCACTGTCTGTTGAATGTGAAGCTATTAAATAATTCTTTCAACCATAATTTAATAGTCCACAGTACAGCACGATCCAATTTGTACACATAAGGTTTCCAAAGTTTTTTAATTAAAAACATTGCCTGCTAAACCATACTTCAAGACATCACTAACAGCCTTTGGTAACTGCTCAGGGAGAAGTTGATAGAAGCTCTTTTGCTAATTTCCAAACATTAAAGTTCTAACTCATTAACTTGTTCTTCAGTGCAGATTACTATACTGGAGATAGAGTCAAGGTTACCTAACATAGGGAAGTGCCTATGCCCAGGTCACTAAAAACTGAAGCCAAAGTGAGGAGAAGCTAATTACTACTTTCCAGCAAGTACACCTTCCTGCTCAGCAGACAAGCTAACCCAAGGAAAGGACTTTCTTTCAGATGCAAAGACGGGATGAACTCTTTGAAAAGAACGAATGCAGGAATTAATCAAGCATGACTTAAAGACATAAGTATGTTTGGCGTGCTGGTCTACTATCACAAACTCACCCATCAGCATTTTTCTCTTCTAACAGAGCAGCAGTTTCCACCAATTTTCTCTTCCTTTCTTGTTGTTTTCTTTGTTTTTCCCGAATCTTTGCATGCAAGAACAGAAATAACATTTTAAGTGGCACTGATATAGCAGATAATTGTTTTACTTTGCACAGCTCCATGGTCTTGAATTTATGAAATAATATAACACTCTGAAGCTTCATTTTGATGGATACAAGAAGAGTCTATTTTGGTGGTCCTGATTCAGAGGCTAATAGGTTTAAAACCAATACGTAATATTGCAAAATACTTTTCTCCTGCTTTTCTTTCCCCCCGCTACTAAATAATTTAAAACTGCACTTTGAGGGCTACTAAAAGCTTCACTAACATTTTGGTTAATCTTTTCCAAGTTACAACAAGTTTGCATGTCTAGTCATGATGATACCAGGGAAAGCTAATAAAGACAGCTTACATTTTCTTTATTTCTTCTCTCTTTGCTCTCTTTACATTCTGCATCTTCAGCAGCAAGGTCGTCCATTGTTTCTTGATCTCCTGTTTCAATGCTCTCCATAACTGCTTCAGTATTAGATTCCACTTCTGTTTCCTGTATCAAAGTCTGCTTCTCCTCAAGTGACCCATTGCTTTCTTCTTCCACTGGAACGTTATAGTCAGGCTCTGAAGGCAAAGTCTCAGAAGAAAATGTTCCGGATACAAGACTGCACACTTTGCTGAGAGGGAATTCATAAAGAGTTCTGAAAAAAGATTCTGGAAATCCAAAACAACTTGTGGCTGCTCTAACTGGTCCCCCTCCTGGATACATTTGAATAATGGATCCATGACCTTTAAATACAAAATAAGTAAATGCAAATGTATAGGTAATCAGGAATAGACTCTAATGCACACAAGGAGCTCAGTGTCGAATCAGCACTATCATAATGCTATTGACAATATCACCACTGCAGGTCTGGTTGCAAAAATGAATTTAGCAATAGAAAAATAAGCTAATATCAATGTAATTTTTTCAAAATTTAATGTGTAAGCAGTTTTGAATATCAGGAAAGATGGGGCATGCCTCACTGAATGGATAATAGGGTACAAATCAGAAAAAACAATGTACCCCTTTGAGATCATATGTACTGTATTTGTTCAGCAAGCATTAAAAGTTAGTTGTAAACCACCATGGTATGTAATCAGTTAGCAGCAGTAACTCATGCTATAGTGATAGAAATGTAGCCGTGTTAGTCTGGGGTAGCTGAAGCAAAATGCAGGACAATGTAGCACTTTAAAGACTAACAAGATGGTTTATTAGATGATGAGCTTTCGTGGGCCAGACCCACTTCCTCAGATTTGATCTGAGGAAGTGGGTCTGGCCCACGAAAGCTCATCATCTAATAAACCATCTTGTTAGTCTTTAAAGTGCTACATTGTCCTGCATTTTGCTTCATGCTATAGAGTAGACACTGGCATTATTACAACGTTTAAAGCTATTAAAATAAGCCCGAGACTTTCATTTGACTCATTTTTTTGTTTATATCAAAGAGCTTGGATGGAAGTTATAACCCAAGTAGTTTACACAATATTTAAAAATGCAGTGAAGTATACAGCCTCTTCAGTATCAAACTTACTCCACCACAGACATTTATCAATTGCTTATAATTATTTTGAAATTAATACCTCATTCCCTCTGTTTCAGAAAGTAATCCTACTGCTTCAACTGGGTAGAGTTAGGACTGCAGATTTGTCATGGTGGGAGAAAAATCATGGATAGTGCAATTCCCATTTGCATGATCTTTTTCCATAGCCAAGACTCATCTGGCAGGATTGGTGCTAATGAGGGGAGAGGGGGAAAAACCTGACATTTGTGGTTGCAGCGCCATGCCAATTTCACATGCTGGACTCTATGCCATGATGAGAGGGACTAAAGTGGAGCTACACTGTAACCCTGTGGGATGTGAGCCACAAGAGCTATCACTGCCAGGTGAGCACAAGGCAGGCTCTTTCTCCAGGCCTTTAAATGCAGAACTGCACCGGGGTTAGCTTCCAGGACCTGGCATGAGCTGGGTCTGGGTCTGGGTCTGCCTGCATGCCGGCTCCCAAAATATTTTAAATGCAGAGCCAAGGGGGCGGGAAGGAGTCGTGTGTAGCCGGTAGTGTTAACTGATAAGCATCCATTTATGGATTAATCTTTTAACCTGCTACACTATTACATTCCTAGTATGCTTAGCCGGAAGTATCAAGTAGTAACAACACCACGCCAAGTATGTGTTGGAGAGGAGGTGAGTGTGTCACAAAAACAGGACAATGTATAGGAGAGTGTGCCCATGCATGTGAGACATAGGACAGTAAGGTGTGTGAGAGTGTGTGCGCGCGTGTGTGTATGGGGGGACAGGACAGTGTTTGAGAGAGTGTGACAGACAGGACAGTATGGGCATCTCTGCTCAGAGGTGTGTGACTTGAAGGGTATTCATATATCCAACCTAATGGGCTTTCATCGCTAATATTAAAAAAGACCTGATTGGATCGATCTATCTGTCCCTATTCACATCCGTCGCTTTCCTGGTGAAGGACATTTGTCTAGTGCCACAAGATGGTGTCTGCCACCTCCAGAAGGAGAAATGCATTAAGGGACAGATCTCATGACTATTGCAATCGATTCTGAAAACTTTCCTGAGCTTTGGGTAAGGCCAAAAGAGGGACGATTGTTCTGGGCTCAGAGCCTCACTCATGGAGTTTCCAGAATTCCCAAGTATCCTAGGACTGCAACCCTGACTGACTGAAGCTGGGGTTCTAGTCTATTTATTCAAGCTGATTAAAACATTGGTAACACCAGGCATCTGGCTAGTCAACGAGATGAGGGTCCGGGGACTCACCCAATTGGAATTTCAAGCCAGATTTATTTAGTACCTAACAATAATCAGTTAGCAATAAGCATAAGTGCAAACCCTTTCCAGTAATCAATAAACAGTTATCAAATATAGATTATCGGGAACAAATCAACACCCAAGACTGGAACTGTGAAAAACCCTAAGAGGACTCCTGTTATTTAATCAGGAATGGGACTGAAGTATGAGGCTTCTTGGCAAAGACATCCTTTTGCCAAATGGTGCTGGAATCTAGAAAGCAGGCAAGAGATATGTGTCTTATAAGGAGAGGACTATGCAAATGAGGGTGACAAGTGTCCTGCTTAAATCTCTGTCCCCTTAACTTCCCACTGTCCCTGGTAGGCCCAGGAGGCACCCTTAGAGATAATCCAAAGCCTCTTTGTCTGTGCAGCTACCAGGGAACCCCCGGAGAACTTCCCCATCGAAGACCAGTGACACTGAGTTTTTTGGTCCATGTAGTTTTCCTTGTCATTTATGGAAGGTAGGAGACTCACTGTTTTGCCGCAATGATGCTCATATTTTCTGCAAAGTGCCCTTTTTTCATTTATTCTCTTGTTAATAAAAAGCAGAACGTGTTTCATGTTCCTGCTTCCCTCATTCTTCTCTCGTCCTACCCAGGGGCCCCGTCCCAAGTAGTTCTGACCCAGTCATGTGTAGAATTGAAAGAGCCTGGAGAATCTACATAGCTAGTGTGTGCTGTGAGCAGGTTCATGCTTATCAGCTATTATATGGCATGGGTCAGATTGGAGCCTGGGAATGGGCTGGAATGGCTACTCAGCAACCTCACTGCTTTGAGAGCTCCCAAGACCAATTCACAGCCTGTGAGACACACACAGGGAGGGAGAAACTATTGGAGCTCAGACAAAAACCTCCTTTGAAGAGCCTGTGAATTGATTTCCTGGGGGTGGTGGCTCTGATCCCACAGCAATGAAAACAGGTCCCAAGTAGCCCCTTATTGCCTCTCCATGCAGTGACCCTGTAGACTCCATCTGTCATGGGCTTGGTTTTACCTTCCCGACGTAGAATCACAGAATCATAGAGCTGGAAGAAACCTCAGGAGGTCATCAAGTCCAGCCCCTGCTCTAGGCAGGACCAATCTCAGCTGGGAGCTGGTGTCCCGACCTGCCCTCTGACTGCCCAGGGCTCCTCCTGCCCCAGCACAGTACACTACTGGCCTGGAGGAGCCACTCTGCAGTTTGCAACAGGCACTGGGACTCAGGAGCACATGCCTAGGAACCCTACAGTCCACCCAGGCAATGTAAAAAGGCCCAGTTCTTCCACCTACCGCTAATGTGGCAGCAGTCAGGGGACCCTGGTCCTTTTAAAACACTCAGGCCCCTGTGCAATTGCCCCCTTCATCCATTCCTGCCCCTAGTCGGCAGGCATGGGGTTTGCACATGGGCTCCCAAAGCCATTTCTGAGAGTGGTGCATGAGACAGGAACTGAAACAAACCACCAGCACAACACTGCAACAAACTATACACAAAATGTGGTGAGAAAAGTAAACAAACTGAAAAGAGAATATATTTTCTATGTTCTTTCAATTGCAATAACCTTCAGTACCAACTTTTCAAAGTGAAATGTGATTTTCAATTCAATTATGTCCCTTTAAATGCCACAAAAAGTACAAGCAAAACATTACTTTTATAACCACGCTAAGATAAAGTATTGTAAAGTTCTGTAAAATACATACTTATAGCCTCAGTTTCAAATAAGCATTGGTTTTGTTCACTGCTAGAGCTGTGTAGTACTTACCTCCCATTCGCTCCATTATGGCACCCAGAACCAAGCCCGCACAAGTTTCCATCACAATCATTTTATTGCCAGCTCGGATATTTCCCAAAGTCAACATTTGAGCTAGAGTATCATACCTCAAATGGCTAGAAAAAAAATGTTTCTTTTACTTTCAGTGCCAAACAGCTTTGTCTAGACTTCAAAGTGTGGTGCATCAGCCCAGAAAGCTGTCAACCAGCAAGAGGCAGGCTGGATATGAATTGTTCAGAAATTATATCAATAGCATTGAGAATCAGAGTGCAGCAGAATACAACATAGTCTGTTAATCAAGATGCACCGAGAACAAAGCAAACATGCAATTAGAAGCAGTGAAGCATTTAGCATTAAAAAGAGTGTTCAGTGGTGGTATTAAAGGGTAGGAGATGAAATGGTGAACACACCAATCTAAATGTGCACCAGCCAGAGCACAAATTCTTTCACGTTACTGTACAATTCTGTAAGAACATGAAGTGTCTTTAAAAGCAATTTTATTCCCAATAATGCATGTGGTAGTTATTTTCAATTCTCTCTCTCTCTGATGCAGAAACACTTAGAGGCCCCAAACATTAATCAAGACCCCATTGTGCTAGGTGGTGTATATATGTAAAGGAGAAAGTTAAATGGAGCCCCAAAGAACTTACAACATGACAAGAGCTAACAGATGGATAAAATAAATGAAGGAGAGAAGAGCAGGAAAGGAAAAATAAAAGTTAAGCAATCATGACTAACATAATAATCAGCAGTCTCATCAATAGTCTCAGTATCTTATGGCTGCTTTATGATTAAATAACAATGAGCAAGTCTAGGCTGGGAGAAAAAAACCCACTATACTGTGCACCAGTAGGTAATTGTTGATTTATGTATTTAAATTATGTCAACCATGACTTGGTTTGTTTTCAACTCCAAATGCATTTTCAAAATTTGTGAGGTTTCTAGAAAGTAATCATCATTTAAATTTTTTTGGAATAAAACATTTTTTAAATTTTACTTTTTCCTTCTTTATTTTCTGCTAAGTGGTAACATTTCTTGGTCGCTGACCCACAATAGAGAGACAGGATCCAGATTCAGCAAAAAGCAGGAACTGGCAGCTCAACAGAATGTGCTCAGCAGCAACTGAGGGGATTTATGTGATGAGGTAACTACAATTGGTCTTGTACAGATGTTTTACTTTTCTTACCCAGTCCAAGGGAATAATAGTTCACATCTTCTCCCTCTATTTTTCATTATTTAGAAATTTTGTATTAACAGGAAAAATGTATAATTCATTGTTATTAATTCATAACTTTAAAAAATCATGTGTCCATTTATAGTTAAAAAGAAATCAAAATTTTTTAAAAGGAGTAACTTACTTTATTTTCCCAGGTTCCCTTGCATAGTACATTGTTGAAAGAATGCGGGTAGATGGCTTTACAATTGTAATAACAGCTTCATATCTAAGTAAAAGCATAATAATATTCTTAAAGATCAGCAAGTCAGAGAACCACTAACCCTCCATGTTTTGTAAATGTAACTTACTTTTTCTTCTTCTTCTTTATGTACTTATCTTGTGCAAATTCTGTTTTGCCACGAAATGTTGTACTGTTCTCTATTAATTGTTGAACTATTTCCTTAAGGAAAGGAGATTAAATATTTGTATAGCAACCAATTATCTCCCACTTATTTCACATACATTTTAAGAAGCATTAACAAAAGAAACATTTCTCACTCACTAAAGATTTATGTATGCAGTCCCCATTACCATGAAAATTCAATTCTTGTTAAATTCCTGCTATGTAATTGCAAATGGGAATTAAAAAAAAAAAAAAAGCCTCACAGCATAAGACATTATTTCCAGAAACAGGGCCAACTTAAAACATATACTGTGAAAATGTTGCTCTGTGGGGCAGGCACTGTCTTTTCAGAGTATGGTTATAGAATACCAAGCAAAAGGAAGCACTGATCCTGACAGGGGCTACTGCAATATATATGGCAATCTATTACTGTTAACATTACCACCTATGATCGTTGTAATTAAAATAGAGGCTCACAATATTTTCAGTGTGTTACTTTAGGAAATTGACAACACTGTATATTATCAATATCATTGTTTTCCCAATAAGAGTCACTTTCCTCTGTATGAGTCTCATTCAGAGTAAAAACTATTTTTAAAATAGGAAAAATATAAAAACTAATTTTTTCCCCCTAAGTTACACAAATTGGCGGGTTATCTCAGGGGCCTGGATAATACTCAAAACTACTTTTAATTCATTTACTAAGTTTCAAATTAACAGTGTCCCTTGAATGAATTTTGGAGGATGGAGCTGACAGGAGAAGGCTTAATTTAGAGTTTGGGCAATATGTTTTTACATGTTTTCTGAAGCAACAACAGAACTGAATTATAATTCTAAGTAACACATACGTACTATAGAATGACATATGTATGTGAATGGTTAACTGGTAAGAAGGTTATGGTTAACTACCTTGCCGAGACTGCCATGGATGGGGGGGTGGGGTGGGGGAAAGGGGATTACTGCCTGGCAGAAGCAGCTTCCACCCACCTCTGTTTAACTGGTTAAACAATGTTTAACCAGTTAACTAATTAAATGGGATTTTATATCCTTAATTTATACTAAAGAAATTCTACTGAAGAAAATGTTGGAAACTTGCTACCTATAAATATTTAAACATCTAAAGACATAACAATACAGAAGAAAATAAAGCCTGCACAAAACAAGCCTGTTCTGACAAAAATTGGACTTTCCAATAACTAAATCTATAATTCTGTGAAACAGGAAGCAGTTTTCTTCTGGTGTACATGACAATTTATGCCACTCTACCACCAGCACCACCTATAATGAAGTGGTTGGACTTTCAGAAGATCTCTGCCCTGTATTGGGCATCTAAATTAAGTGGCCAGTTTTTCCAGGTCCACTCAGGAGCTTCCACTGAGAAAAATGCCAGACAGCAAAATGAAGCATCAGTTCAGAAGCAGCTGAGTTCTTCTGAAAATCTGGTCCTAACTGCACTTGCTGGTAAGTGTTCAAAATCTGGTCCCCTCAAGGAATAATCCTTTCTATCTTTAATTTAGAAGAGATTATGAAAACTTGACATAAGAAAATGCAGCTCAGAAATATTAATGTACTTTCTACCACTTCAACTGCAATTTCATGAAGGAACACTATCTTTGGAAGCTAACATCACAACTGAAAAAAGTCTATAGCTAGATTTCAGAAAACACAGTTATGTCAAAATAGCATACGTATTTGGATAAATTGTATTAACAACATAGCATACGTATGGTACAGAGATATTGTTGATACACAGGGAAGCAATTATCCAATGAGATAGCTTTCATCTGTGATAGAAAACAACAGAAGTTATCAAAGCTCTGAAACGGATTAGGTCATTCCTTTGGAATGGATAGATACCAATAAATGCGTAAAAAATACAACGTCAGTCCCTGTCTGTTAAGAGGCAGGCAAACGAGCAATGTAAGAGGTGTTCTGAATAACTGCCAACAGGAACATACAACTGGACCTTGAACAAGGAGAACATAAGAGATCCCCCAAATCCTACTACAAAGGAAACATTGGAAATTTGAAAGTTTTAAATAATGAAAGATGTGTCTACACTGTAATTAAACACCCATGGCCGCCTCTTGTCAACTGACTCAAGCTTGCAGAGTTGTTTAGTTGCAGTGTAGATGTTTGGATTTGGGCTGGAGCCCTGTGGAAGGCCCCAGACCAAAGTTTCAGCTCAAGCTTGAATATCGATATTCACAAGACCACATCAGCAGACTCGGGCCAACTGTCAGTATTTAACTGCAGTATAGACATATGCAAAACATACAAGCAAAACACAACAAGGAGTCCTATGGTATTTTAAAGTCTAACTTTATTAGGGCATAAGCTTTCGTGGGCTGCAGCTAATTTAGTTAGATGCATGAAGTGAAAGATTTAGGATACATCTACACTGCATTTTTAGTCTTCAAAGTTCCACAGCACTCTTTATTGTTTTTGCTGAAACAGATGAACATGGCTACCTGTCTGAAAAATGTCCAGAGGAGAGGTCATTTATTAAACACTTTAAAATTCCTCCATCTGTTGCTATCAGAGTATGAAATTGGGTATTCCTTCTTCAATAAAGCAAAATCAACATCTTGAGAATGTTTAATTTTAACACTTAGCTATGCAGATACATAAAGAAACAAATTTATCAACAAAGTGTGCTTTCTAGGTATGACTTAGAAGTGTGTGATACTATATTCACATTAACATTTATATCTCTAACTTTTTCTTGGACCTCTAAGTTATATCTCATTGCATGAGCTTTAATATTTATAGATATGTACTGTGAAAATATTGCATTATGTCTCTAACATTTAAATTGAGTTCAAAATTGAAAATACTGTGCTCTTAAATAAATTCTGACATTCTGCTTTCCCCCCCATTTCTTCTAATGCCATGACAATTCTGAATGTCATAAAAGTTCATAAATGTACAACTGTCAACTTAAATGAAAGACTTTCCAGAAAACACTGTCTTTGTAGAATATTTTTTAAAGTACATAGAAAGTGACATACAGAAGGCCATAGAAAAAAGTCTATGTTTCTATTAAAATTAAAAAATTGTCCCAATTCATAAACACATAAATAAAACCATCAGGGTAGCATGGAAATGACACCAAAGATGTATTGTTACCTGTCCTTTAATACCCTTGTCCTTCAAAGCCTGTATGTCATCATGAGTCAGTTTTTGAGACTTTCCATCGTCAACTATGTTACGATTATCCGTACCTGCTTCTTTTGTTTCTAAAGAAAAAGGATAGAGATTTGTAAAATATTCTAGCTCTAAATATTTATTACAGTAGACTTCCGATAATCCGGAACCTATGGGACCTAGGTGGTGCCGGATTATCAGATATGCCGGACTATCAGGAGGTACTATAAACTGGTTTTATATATACTGTATACATTATATACTGTATATAAAGTGTTCTTAACCCTTTTTATTGTACATACTGTATACAGTATACTGTAATGTTTTAGTTTTTTTAAGTCTTTTTTACCCTTTTTGCTCAGTTCAGCTGTTGCTGCTGTTACCTTGTGACTCATTTTTTGCCAAAGCTCACTCACTAGGCTCTTGCCATTTTGATGCCGGACTATCAGGAGTGCCCGACTATTGGATGCCGGACTATTGGAGTTTTACTGTACTGGAGAAATGTATGATTTTAATTTAACAGAAAGATGTTATCCAAAGATGAAATCCACATGGTTGGTGACTTTACAGAGTTTCTTAAGCAATCAATATATATATAAAACAAATGTCTTCACCCACAATAAGGATCAAATTCTCTCATAATAATGTTAAAAAAATGTTCTTCTCTCTTCATAGAACTATTGAAACATTAGCATAGCAGGTGTTCATCTTGCAACAGTCAAAATATGGCTACCGAAAGTTTATAAAATTTTCAATGGAAAAATAATCATTCTCTCTCTGATCTCAATAAAGAAACCATTTACTGGGCAACAGTCTTACATAAGAACAGCTTACACTGGGTCAGACCAAATGTCCATTTAGCCCAATATCCTGTCTTCTAACAGTGGCCAAAGCCAGATGCCACAGAGGGAGTCAACAGAAACAGGTAATAAAGTGATCACTCCCCGGTCATCCATTTCCAAGCCTTAACATGCAGAACCTAGGGACATCATTACTATCCATTCTGGCTAATAAGTGTTAATGGATCTAAATTCATGGACATTATGAGTCTTTCTTGAACCCTGTTAAAGTCCTGATCTTCACAACATCCTCTGGCAAGGAGTTCCACTGGTTGACTGTGCACTGTGTGAAGAAAAACTTTCTTTTGTTTGTTTTAAACCTGCTGCCTAGTAATTTCGTTTAGCGACCCCTAGTTTTTGTGTTATGGGAAAAAGTAAATAACTTTTCCTTATTCACTTGCTCCACATTGGTCATGATTTTATAAACCTCTATCATATGCCTCCTTAGTCTCCTCTTTTCTAAGATGACAAGTCCCAGTCTTTTTAATCTCTCTTTATATGGCACCTATTCCAAATCTCTAAGCATTTTTGTTGCCCTTTACTGAATCTTTTCCAATTCCAATGTATCTTTTTTGAGATGAGGCAACCACATCTCTACGCAGTATTCAAGATGTGTGCATACCATGGATTTATACAGAAGCAGTAAAATATTTACTGTCTTATTCTTTATCCCTTTTTTAAATTTCTTTCTGTTTGCTTTTTTGACTGCTGCTGCACACTAAGTACATATTTTCAGAGAGCTATCCACAATGACCTCGAGATATCTTTTGAATAGATATAGCTAAATTAATTCCCATCATTTTGTATGTGTAGTTGGGATTATTTTTTCCAATGTGCATTACTTTACATTTATCAGCATTAAATTTCATTTGGAAACTAGGTGCTTTGCCATTTTGTTGCCCATCACAAGACCATCAAATACCTGTAGTTGTTTCTTCCATCTTTTTCTTTGGCTGAAGGCTCCCACCAGTAGATACTTCAAATGTTGTTCCATAAATATGTCCAATGGCATTATCCAGATAGAACCACTGCTTTTCGAAAATAACTTTTCTGAAAGAATTTTTAAAACTAAATTAATAAAGTAAATATTTCAGTACCTATTTACCTAAGAGACTGGGAGATATGGTGTTAAAACTTAATTACAATTAAATATAGCACTAAGATTCAAGTTCAATGCCCTATAAGGTTAGTAATAAATATTTGCTATAACCACAATCCATACATCAATATTAGCATAAAACGGAGTAAAAGAGCTGCAAAGTTAAAGGACAAAAGAAATTGAGATTAATACATTTGTGAACTGAAAAAATACATACTTTTTTTAAAGTAATGATTGCCAGTGTAACAGCAGGATACAGACAGTCCTTGACTTTATGACATTTGACCTGTGACAAACGCACTTATGTTTCTGAACTGACACTCTGAATCGACTTACAATGTTGGTTTTGACTTTATGATGCTCAGTTCCGCAATGGAGTGGATTGCAGTTCCAAGTTATGACATTTTGACTTACGACTCAATTTTCAGGAACCAAATGTGTCATAAAACCAAGTACTGCCGGTATATCTTGGATTAGATTTTGGAAGAATTTAGTTCAAAATGTCAGGATGAAAATGGAAGAATACAGCAAAAATAGGATAAGTTTTGGCCTGTCACTCAGAAAGATGAGTGAAGATTTAAAAATGCATAAATCCTGCAGATATTTAGCAAAGACTTGAAGAGAAGGTCTAAGAAACAGGTAACTGATGGAAAGTAGTGATGGAAACAGGTACCCAGTTACCTGGCCCCTGGCATGCTGTGGGCGGGGGGGCTGCTCCAGCCTGGCTGGGCCCAGCGCAGTAGGCAGGGCTGGAAGCCCCATGAAGCTGGCAGCTGAGCCCTGCAGTTAACCATGTAACCAATAAATCTTTATCGGTTACACGGTTCATATTTTTATATATTTTTTACAACCCTAATTGAAGGGACTAGTTTTCCCAACACTCAATTAAGTGCAAATTGTCATCTTTCTACTCATAATATAGTGTTAAGGAAAGCTTGCCTTTTGGTTTAAGTACTCCCGGAGGTCCTCCATCCTGCAAGCTGATCAGCTGTGAATGGATCTCTAAGCAGAACACAGCCTCATTGATTCATTTAGCAATGTACCTAGCAGTTTCTATGCCACACAGGTTGGTATCCAGATTGTCTCTTACAATGCTAATGAAATACAAACAGGACTAAATTTTCAAATCGGAAAACCAAGGCAAAGAAAAGTTAAATTTCTGCCATTTTAAGACTCCTTTGCTTGGAATTTGTAATTCACAAAGATTTTTAAGTTTGCAAAGATTATTGTAATTCCAAATGCAATCAAACGTTTAAATCAACCATACAAAAATAAAAAATGTACTGTCCAAATACAAAATTTGTGTGTGCATTCATCTTAATATCATCAGTGAAAAACATGCTATTTTACTTGCTTACCTAAAATATTCTCTTACCCCTGGGCAAAAGGCAAACTGAATTTTGCAAAATTAAATATTACAAAGGCTACGATTTAACAAAAAATGGGCAAGTGTAAATGTGCGTTCTCATACTTCATGGTGATGCATTCATACGAAGAATATCTACACAGAATTCATAAGCCTGAAGTTAAGACTTTTCATGAAATTGCTGACTCATCAGTTTGGTAAGTAAAATAACAATCTTAATGCAGAAGTCATTTAATTTCCTGTAGCAATATTGATTCTTCTGCTATCTTGTGATTTTATCTATAATTTGGGTTAGGAGTACAGAAGAGTCTTCTGAAAATTGAATGTAAAAATGCCTATGCCTTTTTGGACTTATGCTATTTAATTAGGGCTGTCAAACAATTAAAAACCTTAATCATGATTAATCGCGCTGTTAAACAGTAAGACTCCAGCTGCCCCCAGGCTCTGTGTTGCGCTGCCCCTTTGAAACGTCGTGGCAGCGTTTCAAAGGGGCAGTGCTGCATGGAGTCCGGGGTCAGCTGGGGACTCCAGCTGACCCTGGTTCCTCTTTGCACTGTCCCTTTGAAATGCCTCAGCAGCATTTCAAAGGGGGCAACGCCATGGAAATGCCTGTGATTAACATACATAAAAAAAAAATCATGCATTAATTCTGCCCTGTGTTAATCGCAGATGTTACCACACATTGACAGCCCTAATTTTAATAACAGCACTGTGAAATAGTAAGAAATATTTTAGAGTTCATGTTAATTGGCAGCTTTTGAAAAACACATGTCCACAGTCATCTCTTGGAGTGTCAAGTGCTGAAGACACATACAGAAGTCGTTTGGACACCTATTCTAGTGGGTGGCATTTTCCACTGTTTCACATCCTCCACAAGGAAAAGGTAGGAGTCCTTTCTCCAAAGCATCTTCAACAAAAGAGCGGGATCTGTATACTCCACAGAAGAAACAGCTAGCTTTCTCCCCCCAACCTGAAAAGCAGTGACAGCACTGAAGCAGTCTCTTTCCACAATCAGGAAAATATTCTAAATTTCTAGTTAGTATGGTTATAAACTAGCTTTCCTGGTATGAACCGACTCCGTACCAATGCTGCCTCTACAGATTCAACACAGACGTACCAGTTCATCCTTACTCTGATGCTAATCCTGAGGTATCTCCATCAAACTGGTATTTCTTTGCTGTGCAAATGCAATACTCTTCAATATAAAATACAGTTTATCCTTCTCATAGTGATTATTTCAGATTCTCTGTAAGCAATTCACCTCTGTTCTTCATCCACTTTGCATAGATGTACCAGCATAAAGTGAACACAAAGTACCTTAATATCTCCTTATATCTGACCATTTTTCTTACAACCAAAAGATACCTTTCCCCTGATACAGAAGGCAAGCTTAGGGTCGGGTGGAATCCTACATCCTGGTCATCACAAGAGTACAGAGGTGCAATTAAATTGTAAATTAGTTAGTGCTGTCCCTGAGACTACTCTACTGTAGCAGGAAACAAAGCAGACCCTGACAGCCACAGGTTTGTGGCAGTTCATTGCCTCCTTGTTCTTGGTTCCTGCATCAGGATTAGCATCAGAGTAAGGATGAACTGGTACGTCTGTGTTGAATCTGTAGAGACAGCATTGGTACAGAGTCAATTCATACCAGGAAAGCTAATTTATAACCGTACTAACTAGAAATTAACAAAAATAAAAATCATGATTCTTACCCAGTAAAGATTGCTACTCAGTCTTCGCAAGTGGATTTTCAAAGCCCTGCATTGTGGCATGAAAATTCTACTCTTAATGAAATAACACTATACTAAGTATAAACAACAAGGAGTCTGGTGGCACTTTAAAGACTAACAAATTTATTAGCATATTAGAGCATAAATGTTTGTGAGCTACAACTCACTTCCTCAGATGTTGGAGAGAAAAAAAAGGAAGATAGAGAGATGATTATGTTTTTAGTAATTCTAAAAAATTCAATACTAATTTATTCCAACACTTTTGTCTAAGAATTTAAGAGTGGTATGCAGACTCTCTTAGCAAGACAGCAATACAGGGAGGACAAGAAAGTAAGTAGCACATCTGCAGATATGAGAGATGGGGGATATAGACTCCAGGAGTCCTGCCCACCAGTCTTATTATTTTAATCAGTTATTCACATTAACAGAGAAGGCAAACAGTATTACACATAAAATCTTTTTGCTAGATGTTGTTTTTCTCTTTTCTGTCAAAATGATTATATGTACAAGAACAGTTTTCAAACATTTTCATATAGTGGGCCAATTCTGAAAAAGCAAGCCTGACTTGAAAAATGACCAGAGCTTGAAAAAAAAAAAAAAAACCAGACTTTCTAGTGATCAATAAAAACTTCTACACACTTAAAACTTTGTTTCTAGAGTTTATGGTTCAAAGGATAACATTCTAAATGTAACTATAAACTAATGCAGCGACGTACTGCTAAATCTGCAGTCTGCTCCAGAGGCTTTGTAACTATTCATAGCTTCACCAAGAAGCTGCAGAGCAAATACAACAAAGTAATGTCCTGTGGGCTTCTGAAAAATAAAGAGAATCACTTACAAACAATCTCTTAATGACTACTAACTGTCAGTTTTCACCAAGAAGCTTGGTGGCAACTTGATGAATGCCAATGAAAATTAAGTAGGTTTAGAAGTTAAAATAAGAAAAGAACAAGTTACACATTTCTTAGAAAGAAATCAGATGTCTTCAAGTCACCAAGGTCCGATCAAATGCATCCTAGACTACTCAACGAGCTGATTGAGCAGATATATGGCTAATGGCTCAGCTCTTTGGAAAGTCATGGAAGTCAGGAAGAGAGAAAATACAGTGCCCATCTATAAAAAGGGAAGTGAGGACAACTACAGACCAGTCAGCTTAACTTCTGTGTCAGAAAAGATAAAAAAGCAAATATTTAAGGAATCTATCTGCAAACATCTGCAAGATAAGAAGTTGGTAAGTAACAGTCATCATGGATTTGTCAAGAACAAATCATGTCAAATCATCCCGATAGCTTTCTTTGATAGAATAATAAGCCTTGTGGATAAGGGGGATGTGGTAGACGTAGTAAATCTAGACCAGTGGTCCCCAACCTTTTGGGGCTGCCGTGCACCTGGGGCCGCTGCTGCCGCCCACATACCCAGCGCAGCTCATTCGGTAGGCACACATAAATGCTGCGTTGGATACCACTGATCCAGACTTTAGTAAACCATTTGATACACATTCTTGCATGACCTTCTTATCAATAAACTAGGGCAATTCGATATAGATGGGACTACTATAAGGTGGGTGCATAACTAGTTGGATGACTGCTCTAAGAGAGCAGTTAACAATGGTTCACCGTCATGCTGGAAGGGCATAATGTGGGATTCTGCAGGGATCAGTTTTGGGACTGGTTCTGTTTGGTATATCAATAACTTATGATGATGACAGAGAATACAAAGTTTGTCGATGATATGAATTTTGGAGAGATTGCAAGTGCTTTAGAGGATAGGGTCATAATTAAAAAGCATCTGGACAAACAGGTAAAATGGTCTCAAGTAAACAAGATGAAATTTAAGAAGGACAAATGCAAAGTATTCCTCTTAGGGGGGGAACAATAAGTTTCACACATACAGAATGGGAAATGACTGCCCAGGAAGGAGTATTGCAGAAAGGCATCTAGGGGTCATAGTGGACCACAAGCTAAATATGAGTGAACAAAGTAACACTGCTGCAAAAAAGGGAAACATAATTTTGGGATGCATTAACAGGAGTATTGTAAGCAAGACATGAGAAGTAAGTCTTCCCCTCTACTCTGTGCTGATTAGGTCTCAACTGGAGTACTGTGATGCCCAGAACTGGACACATTTCAGAAAAAAAAATGGAGAAACTGGAGAAGGTCCAGAGAAGAACAACAAAAATGACAAAAGGTCTAAAAAACATGACCTAGGAGGGAAAACTGAAAGAACTGGGTATGTTTAGTTTGGAAAAGAGAAGACTGAGAAGGGACATGATAGCAGCTTTCAAGTACCTAAAAAGGTGTTACAAGTAGCAGGGAGAAAAAATGTTCACCTTGGCCTCTGAGGATAGGACAAGCAGCAATGGCTTAAATTGCAGCAAGGAAGATTTGAGCTGGCTTTTAGGAAAGACTTCCTAACTGCCAGGGTAGCTAAGCAGTGGAATCAATTTCCTAGAGAGGGTGTGGAATCTCTATACTGGAGGTATTTAAGAGAAGGTCAGACAAACATATGTCAGGGATGATCTAGAAAGATGATGCTTGGTCCTGCCGTGAGAGCAGGGAACTGGACTTGATGATCTCTCAAGGTCCCTTCCAGTTCTAGTATTCTGTGATTGTATACATTACTATGTTATTTTTTGACAAACTGCAAACAAAGGCATGTACTAGGGATGTAGACGACTAGTCGACTCCCCGATAAGCATTTGCTTATCCGGTAGCTGAGAGGTGACTCGACTAGTCACTCTCTCCACTCTATCACTCTGACTCTATCAGAGAGGCGCAGCAAGGGAAGGGAGCAAGAGCCAGTGCTGGGGGGAACCATCTTAAAAGCCAGTTCCCCCCAGCACAATCTCCACGGAAAGTAGAGGAGCAGCAGGGAAATGGCACAAGCGGGGACTGAAGAGGTCCCGTTTGCTCCGTCTGACTGCTGTGCCTCTCCCTTTGAAGTGTAGCAAGAGCAGAACCTGAGGTGAGCGGAACCCGAGGTGAGCAGCAACTGCTTGAGTGTCTGCTGCTCTTCTGCCTTTTAAATGTAGTACGACCTGCGACGGCACTTACTACATTTAAATGGCAGAGGCAGGTATAGCAAGCACTCCATCCCACCCCTTATTGACTAAGTACAGCCTCTCTCCGACTTACGAACCGGTTACGGACCAAGCAATTGGTCGTAACTCGGTTTGTTCATAAGTCGGACCCCATAGTTACACGCGACCGCGCGGTTCGTAAGCGCGGATTGCGTTCGTAACTTGGGGTCCGCCATTTATGACAGTTATGGTCGTAACTGTGAATGGTCATAAGTCAACTGTTTGCAACTTGGGGACCGGCTGTGGTCAATGGAAATTCTTATTTCAATGGATTAACTGAAATTTAACATCCCTAGCATGTACTGGGAGAGAGGCATCCTAAACTGAGACTGGGATACTGGTAAAATAGCAAACAATTTCTTCACCCTACCAGCAAAGCCGAGATACTAAGACAGAGAAAGGTTGAGTAGCTGACCCCCTTCCCTACCTCGTAACTCGCCAGACACACACCTTTGCTACAGCCAGAAGTGTCTATGACACCACTGGGGACAGAGAGAGTGAGCCTTTCTCTCCTTTGCAACAATCAAATATGAGCATGCAAAATATTTCAAAGTTTGACAGGGGAGTGATTATGTGAGGATTCCCTGCTGTGTTCCCTCCCTCTGGGGCATCTGGCATTGGCCACTGTCAGCAGACAGGACACTGGGCTAGATGGACCGTTGGTCTGACCCAGTACGGCCATCCTTGTGTTCTTACAGTGATCAGTCAGGCAGCTGAATATCGACACAAGGACACAGACCCCCAAACCAGGGGAAACTGTTTCCGAGTATCATAGAATCATAGAACTGGAAGAGACCTCAGAAGGTCATCAAGTCCAGCCCCCTGCTCTAGGCAGGACCAATTCTAACTAAATCAAAGGGGGCCCAGTTTAATAGCACAGCCTTAGAACCATAGAACCATAGAGCTGGAAGAGACCTCAGAAGGTCATCAAGTCCAGCCCCCTGCTCTAGGCAGGACCAATTCTAACTAAATCAAAGGGGGCCCAGTTTAATAGCACAGCCTTAGAACCATAGAACCATAGAGCTGGAAGAGACCTCAGAAGGTCATCAAGTCCAGCCCCCTGCTCTAGGCAGGACCAATTCTAACTAAATCAAAGGGGGCCCAGTTTAATAGCACAGCCTTAGAACCATAGAACCATAGAGCTGGAAGAGACCTCAGAAGGTCATCAAGTCCAGCCCCCTGCTCTAGGCAGGACCAATTCTAACTAAATCAAAGGGGGCCCAGTTTAATAGCACAGCCTTAGAACCATAGAACCATAGAGCTGGAAGAGACCTCAGAAGGTCATCAAGTCCAGCCCCCTGCTCTAGGCAGGACCAATTCTAACTAAATCAAAGGGGGCCCAGTTTAATAGCACAGCCTTAGAACCATAGAACCATAGAGCTGGAAGAGACCTCAGAAGGTCATCAAGTCCAGCCCCCTGCTCTAGGCAGGACCAATTCTAACTAAATCAAAGGGGGCCCAGTTTAATAGCACAGCCTTAGAACCATAGAACCATAGAGCTGGAAGAGACCTCAGAAGGTCATCAAGTCCAGCCCCCTGCTCTAGGCAGGACCAATTCTAACTAAATCAAAGGGGGCCCAGTTTAATAGCACAGCCTTAGAACCATAGAACCATAGAGCTGGAAGAGACCTCAGAAGGTCATCAAGTCCAGCCCCCTGCTCTAGGCAGGACCAATTCTAACTAAATCAAAGGGGGCCCAGTTTAATAGCACAGCCTTAGAACCATAGAACCATAGAGAGCTGCAAGGAGAGGGGGCGATTCACCTGCGCGCTGCCCCTGAACAGCGAGTACCTGCCCGGCAGCGCCTGCGGATCCCTCTCTCTCTGCCTAGTCAATGCCTGGGGGCCAGGCGAGAGCGGCAGGGCGGCAAAACAAGCGGCAGGGCGAGGGAAAGGGGGGCAGGCGGGGGGGGGGGACGAGACCCGGGAGGGAGGGGAGAGGCCCCGGACCGCGCGGCAGGGAGGCATTTTAGTCACTCGGGCCCCGTCACTCAAGTGATTTCGCTCCAGCCCGACGGGGGCCCAGCAAGGCCCGAGCCCGGAGGGCGCGGCGCTGAGAGGAGGGGCAATGGCGGGGCGGCGGGGCTCCCCCCGTGAGGGGAGCGGGACCCGGCGGCGCGCGCCCCGCTCACCGGCGCCGCAGCACCTGCACCGCCTTGAAGACCTCGTCCCGCTTGAGCACGGCCCAGTCCCCCTCGCGGATGCGCGGACCCGGCCTCGCGCTCTCCTCAGCCATCGCCCGTTGCCGGTGCCGTGTGCTCGCCCGCCCGCCAGGGCCGCGGCGCTACTTCCGGAAGGGGGAGGGGGAAACCCGGCCGGCGCACGCGCCGCGAACCCGGCCCTGCGTTCTCATTGGCGGCGTGCGGCTGCGCAGGCGCAGCGGGGTTGCTTTCAGCTCATGGGGGTTGAAAGGGAGAGAGACCGAACCAAAAAAAAAAAAAAAGGTTTATCACGTGACAGGAAACGCACTGAGCTTTGGCGGTCGGGTTCACCCTTTCACCAATGAACGACGGCGGGAAGTCTCTTACTGTAACCACGGCAACGTGGTGAGGCGGAGCAGCGCCCCAAACGCGCCCCTGGGATTGGTGTTTCTACCGGAAGCGGAAGGCACGCCATGTTGGCGCCAAACTAGAAGTGTCAGTGGAGGCGCTGCTGAGGTGAGTCGCTGCCTGCTGTGCCGGGGCTGGGAGCGGCTCCCATCGCTGCCTCCTCGCCTTCCGCTGCGGCCGCCCAGCCTGAATGCGGGGATCTGACTGAGCGGGCCTGTGCCGGCCCCACAACCCCCCTGGCACGTCTGGCCGGCCCTCAAACGCAGCGACGGGGTCGGCAGCTGTGGAAACGCCCCTTCCCAGCGCGCTGCTCTCAGCCCTGCGGGGGGGATTGACTCTTCCCTCGACCTAGCAACTCCCCGAGAGGTGAGTTCTGACGCAAGAAAACCGGCCCGGCCGCCTAGGTTCACCCCCGCGCTCAGGCTGCCCTCGCTCGTACGATAATAAAGCCCGAACCTTTCGCTCCTTCTGGGTGTACTGAGACGGGGCAGTTCTGACGGGACGCAAGGGATAGCGGTGTGTGTAATTCAATAGGCTTACTTTATGTGCAGGCCTCACAGCATTGTGGGGGAAATACAGGGATTGAATGAGCAGAACTTCCCCAAGTAATGGCCATGTCCTAAGAAAACCAGTTCCTGTATGGCAGCTTCCCTGGCCGTGGTAAAAGCACACCTCTCCTTAGCTCAAATCTGCACTTGACAGGGAATCCTCTGAACTGGCATTCATGCTAAAATTCGACACTCTCTGCAGGGGGCTGAACAAAGACCCCAACTACCTTACCCATTACAAAGATAGCTTCCCCAATTATCACCTCTAATACCATGAACTCACAGACATTCACCTTCCTCCCCCGCATCCCCCTTCTGTTCTGAAATGTGATTTGTCCTTTTCATATGTGTTCATTTTTTTTTTTTTATTGTATCCTTTGGTATATATGGTTGTGACTATTCCATTATTTGATCTGAGGAAGTGGGTCTGGCCCACGAAAGCTCATCTAATAAACCATCTTGTTAGTCTTTAAAGTGCTACATAGTCCTGTATTTTGTTTCTCCTTATCTCAGTTTTCTTTTAAGAAAGCATCTAGTGACAGAATTCAGGAACTTGCAGTCTACCAGAACAAAGATGCCTTGCCTTTGTCTGATCTCTAGGTTAGGATAACAAAGTCTTCTCATTTTACATCAGTGTATCTTAAAATCTAGGGTGGGTCACAAAAGATTTCAGAGTGAACATGTGCAGACAGGATCCTAAATTGTTTTCCAGAGTCCCAGTTTTCATTTTTAAAGAAGATTTCCAGCTGTTATGGTCACAAAGAAAACTTTTAAAACATAAAGGAAATGCAATCATCTGATGAATCTCTCTGAGTCTGTAGAGTCTGAAAAACACTTCGATGAACGATCTTATTTATTTCAATGCTACTGATGCTGTGTTAAATGTCAGCATTATTATATATGTACTGCTCATCAAATCATTTAAGAATGGAGAGGAAATAGATAAGGAAACATTACTGTTTATTTTCTTAATGTTTGGATAGGGGTGCTGTGTTTGTTCACATGACTAGCAATATGTAGACTTTTAGCAACACAAGACTGGTCACAGTTAATTTTATTTTTCTGGGGTAGCCCTCAGCTTTCAAAACTTTGGGAAACACTGTGACAGTCAACTCTTCATCTCCCAACCTACATAAGAGAGGGGCACTTACATTCTAGTATTCTATGATCTATATCATCATGGTATCTGAGAAGCTAGATCAATTTCAACCTAGTTGAAAGTACCAGCTGAGTATAAATGAGGAAAAAATACATTCTGCACTTGTAATCCTTATTTGTCATGAACAGGCTGTGCAGCCAGCCAATGTTTTATAGCATTTGCCATAGTTAACCTCCTATTCGCTGTGGGGATGTAGCCACTTGTTCTTCCTCACCTATTGTTTTGCAAAGAGAGGATCCTGAACTGATTCTACATTATTTAAAAAAAAATGACTATGTACCAATGGTTGTCAGTTAAATTATTATAATCACTATAAATTATTACTATGTGTCTTCATTGGCAGTTTTAATCCAAAATTTGCACATTCAAACACATGCTGACATGAGCAACGAATTCAGAGAGAGAGGGTCTGGACGAGGAAGAGGCAGCTTTCAAAGCTGGAGAGGAAGATGGAGAGGAAGAGGAGATGGAGGAAGAGACTGGAAAAGAAACACTGGAAAGTTTGAGTCTGGTAAATTGGTTCAATGTAACAGATTATCATTAATCTCTGATGATAGACTAAAATAAGAATGTTTTCAAAGTAGCAGTGTGTGTTTAAAGCTGCTTACTAGTGCTCTAAACAATAAACCAGAATAAAAATTTAGGTGCTACAGGTTGGACCTCCCTGGTCTGGCACCATCAGCATGTGATTGCTCCTGGACCTAAGGAGGTCCCCTGTCATCGGCTCCCAAGCCCACCACCTGCTGCTGGCTCCCTGGGCGGCCTAGGCTCCAGCTTCTGCTGGGGAACTCTGTCCCTGCACTCCCGGGGGCTAATCTGCGCTGCCTCTAGCCAGATTGCCTACTGTGTTGCCCCCAGACTCAACTGGCCCTCCTGTCCTGCTAGACCACAGATGTTGATGGACCTGAGAGTGCTGGTTTTCGGAGGTGCAACCTGTACTGTAATTTGCTTTAATCAACTTTATTTTCATACATTTCAGTACAACCTCGGTTGATTCAGTCAACACTGGACCAGATTACTCCATATAAAGGCTGGAAGCTTTATTTCTCTGAAGGTATATTTGAAAATTAAATATTCAATTTACTTCTCAGGTTAGAGGGCTAAAGAAGTAAGTGATGTTATAGGCTCATTCTTAGAATCTTTTTAATATTTTTGTTCAGGAGCGGTAGAGGAAAATGGGAACAAAAATGTAAATAATTGTGTCCCCTAAAAATGAAGGGAGATGTGATCAAATCCTCCTTTTTCTGCCTTTCTTTGCCATCTTATCTTTGCCTTTTTGGAGTGCTAATGTTAATTAGCTTTATGATTTCCATGTAAGCCATTGATTGTTGGATATATACCAAGATCCTTTTGGTTTGGCTTCTGTTCTGGTACGTTTGGAATACCATAACAGCTAATGGAGAAGCCCCTGGGGTATATATGGACCCTGAAACAGCTGCATACTCTCACTCAAGGAATCCATCTCCAAATCAGGTGGACTGGCAGCCAATGATGCCGGAAGCTAAGTGTAATCTACTGCTTATCTTCCCCCATCTCCAGAACAAATTTGAATGAACAACTTGTAATCTGTGTGGGCTGAGGCTTGGAAATAAGTGTTGCACAATGTAAAATACGCCCCATCCTCATCCAGCCTGTGTTAAACCAAAGCCAAAATATTGAGCAGATTCTTATGACTAACTATGGAATTGCAGTTCACATATCATGCATCTCCAGCAGCCTGCAGATTCAGGAATTACTTACTGTAATGCCTCACTATCAACCTTGTTTTGATTCTGTCCCCATGTTCCCCCATGTGAACAACCATCTGCACTCCACAACTTGGAAGCACTAAAATACTCCTTTCATTAAATTTTGCCTCCTTCGTTTTAAGGAATGATCTCACATTGTCTTGGCTAAAAATATTCATCCGAAATTCTTAATGTAGGAAAGGAATATTAGTGAGACATTCCTCAATCTTGGAGCACAAACAATATACAGTAAACTTCTGATAATCCGGCACCTTTAGGACCCAGGAGGTGTCGGATTATCAGATATGCCGGACTATCGGAAGGAGGGGCTATGAAAGATCTGAGGTGGGGGGGATGCCACCCCAGCCCCCTCATAGGCCCCCCTTGCAATAGTCCGCCTCTGCCCCAGGCGTTCCTGATTCAGCCGCTGCTGAAACTGACCAGCAGCAGCTGAATCGGAGACGCCTGGAGCAGAGCAGCTGGGGCGCTGCCGGGTTGGTCCCCGCAGCGCCGTACCTCGGCGCTCCCCACTCCACCCCAGACCCCTCATAGCCCCCCCCTTCCGATAGTCCAACATATTTGATATTCCAGTACCCCCTGGGTCCTAAAGGTGCCGGACTATCGGAAGTTTACTGTAATTAGATTTCTGTTCAAAAGCAGGAGGGATTCCAAATAGTCCAGCACCTTGGGACCTGACCAGTTCCAAACCAGAGAATTTGCCGAACCACAGGAGGTCAATATTGTCTAGCAGCATTACCAATACTTCCACAGCTTACTGAGCTCTTAGAAGACATTTACGGTTAAATTAAAGCTAAATAACAGCACTGAACACTGAGAGCTAGGACTGGTAGTTGCAAACAAACTTTATGGGACCATGGGGAAACTTGGCCATACCCATAAGTGGACTCCCAGCTTTCCCGATTCAGCTGCTGGTCAGTTTCAGCAGCGGCTGAATCGGGGAAGCTGGGTGCAGAGCAGCTCCAATTGTCTGGCAGCCAGAGCACTTCCAGGTTCCTGATGGTGCCGGACCATCAGGAGTGCTGGAGCATTGGATGCCGGACCAATGAAGTTTTACTGTAATGGGGGAAAAATCACCCTTTCTATGAAATACTGCAAGATGTCATGATGGAATAAGAGTAAGACCTGCTATCTCTTTATAGGTCCACGTCTTACACGTCTTTAGGTTATCAGTTGGCATTCCTTCCTCTCCTATCTTTCCTTTCCCTTCTGTGTCTGATTAGCTCAGTCCAATGGTATGGTGAAAAACTCAATACATTATTCTGTCCAGTCCTTTGAAGGAAGGTGGCTGTGGTACAGGTGCTTGAGAAACAGGTGCGAAAACCATGGAGGGTAAAGGGTGTGGAAGAGGCCTCATAGACGGATTATTTAAATGAATACCCATATAATTTTTTTTTAAATAATCAGTGTCTTTAATGGGATGAATTGGTTTATATAATAAACACCAGTTACAAATTAAGCATATCTTGTATTGATGTGGATCAGAGGTGGGCAAATACTGGACTTTGGGCCGGATCGCCTTTGCCAGCAAATGGGATCTGTGATCGCCCGTACCTGCAAAGGTGCAGGTAAATATACTGGCAGCGGCCTGCCAGGGGCTAATTTTAGAAGTAATTTTTAAGTCAGGCAAAGCATGGGGGTACGCAAGCCAAATCAGATTCCTGAAAGATATACAATCATGTGGAAAAGTTGAGACATACTGATGTAAATAATTATTTCTGGGTTAATTACTAATGCAATATATATCTAATTAGCTTATGATGGCAGCTCTCCTTTTGTCCAGAAGATTCAAGCATTTGAAAAGTTTTTCATGCATCGGATTGAACTTTATGATAAGGTAATACACCCACAATTGTTGCTACAATAGCATAATAGATCAGTATATATTTTCTTCTGTCTATATTTCAACTAAAATATCTCAAGAATAATATTAATCTGCTGTATCTCAGAGTGAAATGTATTTTAACTTTAAATGTTTTGCAGGATGAAATAGAAAGAAAAGGAAGTATTCTTGTGGATTTCAAAGAACTTGTACAAGATAAAGAATTAATTGAATTGATACCCAGTATTTTTACTGAATTAAGGGATATGCCTCAGAAAATACTGGACTGCATGGGTTTGGCAATACATCAGGTAAATGTGGACTCCAAATAGATATAAAGGAGTAGGATGTATGTGTGTAATTATGGCTTGTACTTTAAGTTTTAAACCACACTTATATGGAGGATCAGTGGTCACGTTCAGAAGGATTTTTAACCAGAAACAAACATATAATTACCACAACTATGGAAGTTTCATTTTGTGTTTTTAAACTTTTAATTAAATTTAGAAATAGAGCCTTTTTAAAAATTGAGTTGATTCCTAAAGATTTTGAAGTGAGTGGCTTTCAAAAGATGTGAAGCATAAGTACATTTTTCAGGATTGGGGCCTTAATTTTTAAAGGCTAAGCTTTTTAATGCACCAAGTGTCCTGGTCCAAAGATTTGACCTAATTTACTATCATTATGAATAATAATGGAAGAAGTCCTCCAAATGTTAAATATATAGATTTTCAGACATAAAAAATCTACTGCTTCACTGAAAAATAAGTCTCTCATATCCTCTCCTCGCCATTTTTTGTGTGTCTTACAAAATTATATCTTGATTATATTTTGGGCTTCCTTCAGACCTTTCATTAGACAATCTCAATATTAGTCAACCACTTTCATCAGATATACCTCAGTCCCATTTTTAATGTGAAACTGAATCTCAAATTTTAAAGTAATTGCTCAAAGTTACACAGGAAGCTCATAGCGAAACTGAATAAACCCTATATCTTGTGCTTTCAGTCCTGTACTTTCAAAAGGCTAGTCACCTTATGCTGGTTCTGCAGTAACAGCAGATATGTCCATAGATATGCTGAGATTAATGATACCGATGCAAACACCTAGTTTAGAATTGGATAGTGTGTGTGTATAGTAATCTCCAAGAAAAAAGATATCAAGTATTTTTAGGATATAGAGGTGAAATATAAGTATTGTAATAGGCCTGAGGCCTGTAGGCACTCTATAAGATATTGATTCAGCTTAGCCATTCAAGACCTTAGGCTTGCAATAGGTTAGCATGATTAGTTGATCAGATAATAATCTTGTACTAGTAAAATGTGAAGTTACAGTAAAAGAAATGTTAATGGCTGATATGCTGGAAACTGTGCAGCAACAGCTGGAAAATATGCTGCAGTGAGCCATTTAATGCGGCAAGATGCCAGATAGTAACATTTTAGAGAATTCTGTTTTAATCTTAAATTGCTATAACTCATTTATATGCACACCTCAGATACACTCATCCACCAATTTGCCTTTGCAACAAACCCTATTTCCAACTCTGTCCATATGTCTATAGAAGTGACATTATCACAGGACCTATCCACATAAGCCACAACAGCTGCTCATACAGCTGCATATCCTCTAATATGATCTATGCCATCAAGTGCCAGCAAATGCCCCTCTGCCATGTATATTGGCCAAACTAGATAGTGTCACAACAAAGGAGAAATGGACACAACTCAGACATCAGAAATGGTAACACACATGAACCTGTGGGGGAACATTTTAACTGCCTGGTCACTCAATCATGGATTTATTTTAATGATGCTGATGATAATATTTCTGATGCCGTAGTTGTCAGGACACCACACCTTTTTTGACTACTGCGGTCAAAAAGTTTAATCAGTTTGATTCCATCAACTAATGAATCCTCAATCTATTGATAAGGCTACAATGTGTTAATTTTTTATTGAAAACTAAGATGTTAATTTAAGCTCCATTTAATATATGGAAGGAAAATCTGTGGTTGTCAAATGGAAAAGTACAAAAGCAGGAAAATAATTCCTTTGGCTGTGTTTAGTAGTCAACGAGGCCTTCTACAGAGATATGTAGAGGTTTAAAACTGCTGCGATGTACCATTTGCAGGATAAGACAGCAAAGCCCAACTGCAAATGAACTATCCAGCCAAACCCAGGGAGGAGAGAACCATGTTATGGGAGAACACTGTCACTATTGCCACTTTGGCAAATACTATTACCCATTCCTTAGAGCTGGTTCTTTTTAGCAGGTGTTTGTTTTTTCTTGTCTAAGTAGGTATTAACTAAAGACCTGGAAAGGCATGCAGCTGAACTACAGGAGCAGGAAGGCTTATCAATTGATGAAGAACCTATAATAAATGTGCCATATATTCATGCAAGGTAAAGAGTGTTCTGTATTAATTCTGTATTAGGATTTGAAAGATTCATTTACCCAGAGAGAGTAAGAAACTCTCATGGACAATTGCCATCAAATGTTGGTCCTTTCTGTGCTGCAAAACTTTGAAATGTGTGTTAACTGTGACTGGGTATTGCTGTGTTACAAGTCCTCATATATGTTAGTTCTGTAGTGTAAATGGGACCTAGGAATATTTAAAGAGAATTAAAGGTGTATATATACTGTGTATTCTCTTGTAGTTTGGGAATTCTGAATATTAGAATTTGATGGATAATCTTCAATTCTTTCTAAGTTAGCAGGAGTTAAAGGTTATGTCATGTATTCTGAAGAAAGGTTAGATTTACCATAAAATATTAGATTTGTCCTTTGCTGATTAAATCTTTTCTCAGCCTGTATGTCTTTTAGTGCCGTGCATATTTGACAAGATTTTTGTTCTTTAAGGATAACAAGAGTTTTAAAGTTGTGTGGTAACCTTTTTATTTAGAGTGTACAACTATGACCCGTTGACTCAACTAAAGAATGTTCGGGCTAATTGTTATGGAAAGTATGTTGCCCTGCGAGGCACTGTTGTGCGTGTCAGCAACATTAAACCTCTGTGCACCAAGATGGCCTTTATATGCAGCGCATGTGGGCATATTCAGAGTTTTCCTTTGCGTGATGGAAAATATTCTGTCCCCACAAAGGTAATTTAAAATACTTTCATCTTGAAAATTGTCCTCCCCTTTACAATCTCTTGTGTATGGGAACTGTAAACGTCATATTTAAAGAGGGATAAAATGGCTATTAGCAAAGTTAGAAGAAGTTATGGGACACCTAATGCAGCGCATGTGGGCATATTCAGAGTTTTCCTTTGCGTGATGGAAAATATTCTGTCCCCACAAAGGTAATTTAAAATACTTTCATCTTGAAAATTGTCCTCCCCTTTACAATCTCTTGTGTATGGGAACTGTAAACGTCATATTTAAAGAGGGATAAAATGGCTATTAGCAAAGTTAGAAGAAGTTATGGGACACCTAACCTATCCCTGTGCATCCTAGTGTTACTGTAAATCTTCACTTGAGGTAGGAATTTGAAAAAAGTTTCCTTGATTTGAGTCTCATTAAAATGAAAACCAAAAGTATAAAAAGTTCCTCAAATTTAGAAAAAAAGTCTTTTCTCACCCCTCCCTGAACCTGCCTGCTTGGATGAAAGGGGCTGTTCAGTGTTCTGACTGTGTTTAGCCATTTTATCTAGGACTAGAACTGGCTGGAAAATGTAAATGTGCAAAATTTCAAGACTTGGTGGCTTTATTTACGTTTTTTGTGGGGCGAGAGACTGGGGGAGTGGATTTTGTCCTGAATTGGGATGAAAAGCAAAGAACACTTTCCAGAAAAGTTCCATTTTGGGAGTAGCAAAACAGGATTTTTTTTTTCTTCAGTTTTTCAGTTCTCCTGCTACAGGATTTCCGGCTGGCTAGCTGCCTGGGATGCAATAAGCTTGGTAGTGCAAGAGCTGGCCAGCTGCACAGCCATGATTGTGTCTACACTGTGAAACTGTCCCCTACTCCATCTACAGCAGGGATTTTCAGAGCCTGGGTCTACATGAGTTCATGTAACTCCTGCTATGGTGCTAAAAATAGCCAGGTAGATGTTCATGCTTGGGCTGGAGCTTAGCCTCTGAAGCCCAGGGAAAGGGGTGGGTTTCACCACCTGAGCTCCAACCCAAGCCAGAGAGTCTACCTGGCTATTTTTAGCACCTGCAAGTGCAAGCCTGAGTCCGTTGACTTGGCTTCTAAGACTTGCTGCTATGGAGTTTTGGGGGTGGGATACAGGGGGAGGCGGCTGTATAGATGGATCTCATGGAGCTTAACAATGTGAGAGTGTGGTAGCCTGCCAGGTGTACAGTCTGGGAAGCTGCATCTCCCCAGTAGGCTGCCAAGAACCTGAGTAGCAGTGGGCTGGCAGCTATCTAGGAAACCAGGCACTTGGTTTCTGTCTAAAATGTTGATGAAACCAACATTTTCATAGAACTTTTCAATTTTTGTTGAATCAGTATTTTCCAGTGGAAAACTTTTGACCAGCTCTCTCCAAGGTTTAGTATTTTGGTTTTGTTGTTCTTCCTAGCTTGATCTGAGACCCCACAAAACATAGATACAAAATTATAATAAGGTAACTGAGTATTATTATTTGATCAAGGTGAGAAGTTTTCTTCTCTGAAACCTGAAAATAAAAATGTCGTAAAACATGCAGTACTAACACTGTTTTTCTAGTGCCTACAGTTGAGAATGCTAAGTGTTTAATGGAAAATTATCAGTCATTAACTATAGCTTTTCTTTTTACGTGCTGTTAATGAGCTGCACACAGAGTACTACCGGTTTTTCAAAATCAAATGAGTTGTCTTAAACTGTTGAGAGAATCATTTTCTTTACATCAAACATGACCACGAATTCATACTGTTACAGTGTCCTCTGCCTGAATGCCATGGACGATCGTTCACTGCAGACAGAAGCTCTCCTTTAACAATTACAGTGGACTGGCAGTCTATTAAGTAAGCAATTGTAGAGTATCTGCTCCTTTCACTAATATATTTAGGTTAGCAGATTTGAAAGGATGCCAAATTGCAAAAGCAAATGTGTGTTCTTATCCATTGTGTAAAAGCCATTGATTAAAAGAATATGCTACAAAAGCATCATTTCACCAAAGCACCATTCCATATTACATTTTGTTCCTACTCAGTATAATTTAATTTAAATACTTCTTATCTTGATGATAGCTCCATTGTGAACCGTTGCAGGTCATGCTGTGAATATGATTGCATCTAATCTATAAATGTGATCACATCCGTTATAAAGTACCTTCTATAATGTAAGGAAAACATCACCATGTTTGGCTAGCAAGGCATGTCAGCTGAGAGGGGGTGGAAGAGTTGTATCGAATTTTAGTGTCAATCTTGGTTTAAAGTTTTACTGGGAAAAAACACCAGGTGACCTGAATAGAAATGAAGTGCACATATTTAAATTGTTTCCCTGTTCTGCTTTCTACATATAATTATGCAAATATACCTTAAATTGTGACCTATTTTGAACAGGACAGGCTTTGTTGTCTTAGTTGTACAGAAATAGAAAAAAACAGGGCTCCTAGATTTTACTGCAAAAGAAATAAATAATATAAATGTCAAGTATTCCTTCTAGTCTAAACTAATTAAAAATATTTCTGAAGTTGATTTTTTTTTTTTTTTTTACAGTGGTTATAAAGTTAAGTAGCCTAGCATTGGGAGAAGCCATTAGGTCCTACTTCAGTACAGCTGAACTTAATGCACTCGTGAGTTGACTTCAGTGGATCTACTCACTGTCAAATCCTAGCCCAACTGAGGCAAATTTCACTTCTAAGGGGTCAGGATTTCACTCAGAATTTATAAAATTAAACATATGTAAGTCTTTGCAGAATTGGGGTCCTAATTCATTTGCATTGTGGTCTTGGGGCTTCTGGGGCACAGTGCCTCCAATGTGAGACTTTGTGAGTTGATATCTGTGATAATCTGACAAGTGGATGTTATCAGGGCTTTAAATAACTTGATGTCCTGTGCCGCCTTACTTCAGTATTATGTCTCAGAAGTAATATTTTGCTCTTGTTGTGAACCTGTTTTTTTTTAAACAGCATTTTAAAATAATGTAACCTTTTATAGTAAACTACATAAACTATAGCAACATTAGGGGTCTGAATCAGAGCTATCAAACAAACATGATTATTTTACTACTATAAAAATAGACTGTGAAAATATCATCTTGTTGCTCAGCAACAGATCTGCTCCCTAAATATAATCAGCAACTAAAATAAGTTCTTCCTTGTGTAGGTTCACTGTTTTTATGCTTTACTTCTGCTATGAGTTTGAGGAGATAGGATGAGACCTGCAGTCACCAGGCAAGGGGCTTAGATCTCCTTTCCAGGAACACAACGCAGCTGACAGAACAAACCACCTTCTAGTAGCCCCCAAAGGTGGTTTCCAGATCTCCTGCAAAAATACAGAGTATAGGAACTACTTCAAAGGATTCAGATTTGGTTCCAAATTGATCCTTTTGCTTGTCTCAGCTGGTAATCTTTTTTGTGAGCTCTTTTTCAGGGAACAAAGAGTTTGCTCCACTTTTTCCAGGAGCTGTTCCCTCCCCATTCCAAGCGAAACAAGTGCCTCTCATGCAGCTTGTCTGCAACGTTTGCTCTAAGGAGCCATTTTTGCCTGCCTGCTCTGGCTTCCAGTCTCTGCTATACTGCTGGGACTGGTAGCTGCATTGCCTGTGCTATGGGATGCAGGGCAAAAGGGCTATTTGGAGCGTATTCACAAGCGAGTGTGTTCCAAACCTACCTATGAAAGGGGGCCATCACTTACACTGTTTCTGAGCCTCAGAACACACCCTCCTGGTATATCTGCATAGCAGAGAAAAACCCACAGCTGGACATGCCACTTAACTGGGGCTTGGGCTGTGGGGCTGTTTCATTGCCGTGTAGACTTCTGGGCTTGGGTTGGAGCCTGAGCTTTGGAACCCTCCCACCTCTCAGGAAAAGTGTAACTGTTCTGGTGCATCTGCAGAGTGTGATAGCAACTATTCTAAAGCTTAGGAGGCAATAGATGCCCTGATGGTTTACTCAGCCATGCTGGGAGGGTTTCGTCTTTACTGCTGCCCTCTTGAAGGAATAGGGTGTTGGGAACAAGTTATAATTAAGACTTATGGATTGCGGGATGGGGGAGCAATTACCTATAAAAATTGCTTTTCTCCCCTCTACTGTCTCCAAAAGCTGAAAATAGGGGGAGCTGCCCTCTGGCTCCAACAGGGAGAGGGGCTGATTTCAGGTGGTTTTATGGTTCTAGTCGAATACACTTGCATAGTCCTAACCAATTAACTAGTTCATAGGCACTTTTTGTCTTTGGAGGAGGTTTAAGATTTGTGCAATTCTATTAAAGGAAATCACGGAGGCAGTAAAGAGATCACCCCACCATATTATATTTAGAATAATTTCAAAATGGGGATGTAAAATCCCGGTTAATCAGTTAAACATTATGTTAACCTAATGCTTAACTGGTTAACTAATTGGGATCTGGGCTGGATATCACTCCAGTTTGGGTGGAGCTGCTCCTAGCCCATGGGGCTTCTGTCCCCATGTTGGGGCTGAGGGACAGGGGCTGGTTTGGCTGCTGGCTCCCAGGCTTTGCCAGAGCAACCCCTGTCCATCGTGGGCAAAAGGACTGGCACAGGCACGAGCTGCTCTGGATGAGAGCAGCCTGTGTCTGCAGTAGGCCCCCTGCGGGGCTGGAGCAGCCCCTCATCCACAGCAGGCGGGTATCTGCTCCAGTCCCCACCGATTACCAGTTAATCAGAACCAGTAGGCATTGACTGGTGACCCTTTCACATCCCTACTTCAAAGACGCTCAACACTTATTCCCCCATTTCTATTGCACCCCTGTCAACTCCAGTGATATAGGAGTGTGTGTACTCAGCAGAGTTCATGATGTTTCATTGCTTCCATGAAGCAATACCTTAACATAGCCGGGTCAACACAAGGTAGAATGTCAGTACAGAGAAGTGGATCTCAAATTTATTCATCTTGGGGGTTTCGATTAGAGTCTAAGCTAACATTCTGCATCCAAATTCTACAGAGCTGAGTATTAAATTTTAAAACCAGTTATGAGTAGCAAGATCTTCACATTCAGACCCCCATTTTGTCTTTTAAATTGCACTTTTTTTTCATTTCTGGAAAAAAGTTATACCATGGTACTGACAGATACTGAACACTAGCTCTAGGGGGTGCTGTTAATATTTCATGTAGAGAAGAGCTCAGAAGAGAAACCTTTGGTATTCATAACTGTATATATCCTAGAGTTCATTTAGCAGGACTAAAATGCAACATAGTGAGGCAAAAACAATAGTTAATTTTTTTTTAAATATCACTGATTTTTAGTTTTATTTAAATGGCGAAGTATTTAATTTTGAAGGTTATAAAATGAATATAATTCATGATGAGAGAACACTGGGGGAGGGGGCATATTTAAAGACTATATATACCTATATAAATATTTAAAAGGGAAAGAAAAATCACTTATGCAAGTGTAACACTCATTTCTACGTTAAAGTATAGAAGAGCTACAGTAGCCTACAGTGCAAATGATCATTTATTATTTGTATTTTGGAAGCACCTAGTGCAGAGGTGGGCATACTTTTTGGTTTGAGGGCCACATCTGGGTAGGGAAATTGTATGGTGGGGCAGAGGATTGGGTTGTGTGTTTTCAAAGGGGGGCTCTGGGCAGGGTGAAGGGTGCAGAAGGGGCAGTGAAGGTGGTTGGGGCAGAAATTCAGGTGCAAGAGGGAGTTCAGGGTTGGGGTAGTAGTGCAGGAAGGGTTTGGGGTGCAGGCTCTGGCTAGGCGTCACTTTCCTTGGGCAACTCCCAGTCAGTGGTGCAGTAGTGCTAAGGTAGGCACCCCCACCCTCGCCCCATACTACTCCCAGAACTGGCCAACTTGTCTGGTAGCAGCTCCTAGGAGTGGAATGGGAGGGAGGCAGCTTTGCGCGCTGCCACCACAGCTTTCATTGGCCATGGTTCCCCATTCCTGGCCAATAGGAGCTGCGGGGATGGCGCCTGTTGGTGAGGGCAGCATGCAGAGCCCTCTGTCCCTTCTGCCCCCTCCAAGGGGCTGCAGGCTTATGCTAGTCTCTTCTAGGAGCAGTGTAGGGCCGTAGCAGGCAAGGAGCCTACCTTAGCCTCATTGCGCCCCTGGACTGATAATCCTAAAGACTGGCTGGATGTGGCCCGCAGACTGTAGTTTGCTCATCCTGACCTAGAGGCTGTACTCAGGAGAAACATCAGAGCTTGTCCACACAAAACTGTAATGGTAGGAAAACCAGTATGGCTGATTTGTAGTTATAACCACGAATAGTCTTTCTGATGGTCACAGCCCAAAGAGAATTTTGGATGATGTTTTCTCTGCTTCTTTTTTTTATTTATTTTTTAACACTTGATCCATTTGCTGGGCGCCCTTTTTTGAGTTGGAGGATGAAAATGACACACAATATTACTAGTAGTATCAGCGTTTCCCTACTCACTTAATGCAGATTACTGAAAACATTTTTGCAGTTTGAACGTACGTGTAATTGGAGCTCAGTAAGTTTGTAGAATTGACTGTGTTAATCTAGAGTTGATAACATTAGGGTTCTTTGGAAATATGTTTTGAAGTGTTTGCCAAAGAAAAAAATGAAGTGTTTAAGTCCCTGGTCTTGGAACCACTTAAAACTTGGAATTTCTTGACTTTCATTTAACAGCCCTAGTCGCAATATTATCATTCTGTAGTCTCCCTTCTCATCAGATTAAAAAAAAATTGATTTGAAGCATAAATGGGAGGACTTTTATAGACGAACTTGCTGGGCATTGATAGAAGAACTTGCTGTGTATCTTAGGGTTCAGGAGCTCATGTCAGATGATCAGCGAGAAGCAGGTCGAATTCCTCGCACAATTGAATGTGAGCTGGTTCAGGATCTTGTAGACAGTTGTGTTCCAGGAGATACAGTCACGATCACAGGAATTGTTAAGGTGTCAAACACCGAAGAAGGTACTGTACGTCTGTTTTGAATTTTTTCTAACATCACCTTCTGTATCTTGCACAGTGCTGAACGAAAGCCTCTGTTCTCGAGTTGTTGATTTGTCTATCGAAGCCTACACTCACTTATTCATTGCATGCATTTAGAAATAAATAAAACATCGTACGGAAAGGTGTTAAGACTCCGTGGTGAAAAAGGACAAACTATGCCAACTGGGATCCCCAGATGCCAGCTTCTCTGCTGCTGGCGTGGCCAGCCGACTCCAGCCCCTTTTATTTCTGGCCTGGTCAGGGATACCCAGACCAGGGAGCCCAGCAGCTGCTGGCCGAGGATTGTGGTTCTTTGGTCTAGCAACATCCATGGTTGCTGGACTAGAGAGTCCCAGATTTGAGAGGTTGAACCTGTGCCTTGTCTTTTTTCTTTAGAAAAAATGTTCTAGGAGTAAAATTGTGTATGTCTGTAGCATATTTTTTAATTTTATAGTAGATCAGGCTAAGTTCCAAAGACACATAAAATGTAGCCAGTTCAGATGTAGCCAGTTCAGTGCTCTCTGTTTCCAAGTATAAATTGTGACCAAAATAAAATTGATCATGCATTGTGTTCAGGCCCCGATGCAGCAAAATACTTGTGCTGAACTTTTAAGTAAATTAAAAGACATTCAGAGGTTTGTAAAAGGAAAAGGAATTTCAATGTCACTAGAAGCTTTTCCTGACTTTTTATCAGGCTTTGAGGAAACAATTGCCCAAAATAGTTTCTACTAAATTGTTGTAGGGCTATGTTTTCCAGTATTCAGGAACAGACCTAATTGATTAGACTTTTAAATTTGTAATATGTTATTACAAATGTACCCTACATTTTAATTAACACGTGGTTTTTAATATTTCTGAATTCTTTAATCACAACTTGTGCAAAACCCCAATAATTAGAGATGAAAGCATCGCTTCCTACTCTTGACCATCTTTATAATCTAACAGGAGCATCTAGAAACAAGAATGACAAATGTATGTTCCTGTTGTACATTGAGGCAAACTCCATCAGCAACAGTAAAGGACAAAAAGTCATGAATTCTGAGGATGGGACTAATCACAGAGTGTGCATGGAATTTTCACTTAAAGATCTTTATGCTGTGCAAGAAATTCAAGCTGAGGAAAATCTGTTCAAGCTAATTGTCAAGTATGTTTCCTCTTACCTCTAGCAATTTAGACACAAAAGCATCACAACTTTTCCCTTCTTGTACTTTCAAGAGTGTGGTTCATTATTTGCCATTCTATATCTTGATCCTTCTGAAGCAGTCAATTTGGGACAAGTGACCTAAATGAAGTTACATAGTGCCTGTGTCCCTCAGGATGGGAGGTGAATTCAATTATATATGTTTGTACTTGAAACTAGTTGCTGAACTTTCATTTACCCCAGAATAAAAATATTGTACTTCAAAAGAACACTGTTCTTAAAATAAGTACATACTCATGTTTACTCCTGTGGAATCTTTCTTTCTGCCTTCCTCTTTTCCCCTTTTTTTTCAACTGCTACATTCTTTTTTTAAAGATCTGTGAGACGATTGCCATAGCTGCTTCCTCACTTTGCATTGTTCTACACTCTGCCTATGGCTTCTGTGGTACTAGAGTGGGGAGAAAAGGGTGGGGGAAGGGGTGTGTGTGGATATGTGAGCTAAACTGAGGGCATGAAACAGACAATGCAGGGTCATGAGGTACCACTGGAGGATTTCAGGAAGCTGCAGTTAAACTTGTGGAATATAAGACCTTCTTCAAACTCTAGCACAATTGAGCAATAGACTAATAATGATTAAAAGTAGTTCGGTTGCAGAGATAAGTGGGTGCAACCGTGTAACAGGTTCTCGTTTGTGTGTGTGTACATACTTAAGAGGAATACTGCTCTTTTTATAAGCATGCCTAACTGTTCAAAAAGTTCAATAATTTTGATACAGCATTACAAAAACAAAACACTCCTGGTTTTGCTGGGAATTAGAAAAGAAAGTGAATGCGTATGGAACTTGTTGCAATACAGAAGCTAATTTTGTAATTGTGATGGAACAACTGATTATTTATTTAATGGTAATAAGATATGTGTATTAATCAAATACTGATGTCAAATGTCTTGTGTTTTTCAGCTCACTTTGTCCTACTATCTATGGTCATGAGGTAAGTAATTTTAGGGCTCTGCTTTCATTTTAAATTCAAAGTGCATTACAGATTTGCTTCAGTAAACTTCCGAGACCTTTTTAAAGGTTGGGAAGGTGGAAAAATGGAATTTAAGAAGTTTATTTTTGGATAAACTTTTACTTTTTTCTGTGTCAGAACACCCATAGAAACTCCCAAATGAGTCTCTTGTAACTTATTTTCTGCAAGACACACAATGTTTGCTTTCTGTTTGTCTGAATGTACTATGAAGCAATTGTTAGTAATGGTAGCTGTCGTCTAATACTGGCTAATATTTGCATATATCATTATAGATAGTAAAGGCAGGTTTGGCACTGGCATTGTTTGGAGGATGCCAAAAGTATATGGATGACAAAAACAGAATTCCAGTGCGAGGAGACCCGCATCTTCTGGTGGTTGGAGATCCAGGATTGGGAAAGAGCCAGATGTTGCAAGTATGGGTTCATTTACTCCTACAGATTGAAACCCTCTGGTCTGGTAACATCTGTGGTCCAGAAGGACTAGAGAGCCTCAGCATAGAGCCATGGTGTCCAACATGCTAGCCACTGGTCACAGGTGGCTGTTTGGCTGGTTGTGTGTGGCTAGTTGATATAGTAGTAGCAGTATAATGGCTACTGCTTCAGAACTGGTTGGACACCCACCATAGAGGTTGCCAGTGGCTGAGAGCAGAGGCAGCAAGTGGGGCAGCGGAGTCCATGGGGGAGCCAGAACTTGCAGTCAGCAGAGCTGGGTAACCAGTGGGGGCACGTGAGCCCGCAGGGTGGAGGCGGACAGCAGAATTGGCAGCGGACCAGGAAGGTGGCAGGGCTGTCACAATCCATGGGGGTGGGAGGGCCTCAGGATTAGGGATGCGGGAGGGGTGCAGGTGTCAGGGTGGAGGTGCAGAAGTCAGGTTAAGGGCTGGGAGTGCAGCAGTCAGAGTAGAGGGCTCAGTGTAGAGGGTGGGGGATGCAGGACTCGGGGCAGGGAGCTGGGAGGCTGGGGACTGAGGATAGGGGGTTAGATGCACAGGAGTCAGGGCAGTGAGTGGGGGCACTCAGGACAAGGTTGGTGCAGGATTTAGGGCAGAGGGAAGGCTCAGACCAGGGGGCTGCAGGGTTGGGAGGGCTTAACAGAAACTGCCCATGGAAGCTTTGTTTTTGAATACAGGTGATTTTTAATAAACCATTATGGTTCCTTACATCTAGTACACACAAACCCATGTCAAGTAGCATAGTCTCAGGGTTTATGATAACACAGTAGATGGTACTTTGACTGCAAGCCATGTGACTAAAATGATTCCCATCTGCATTATTGGATGTATATATCTTTAGGGGTACTCAGTTAATAACTATTACAGTAGTGGCTCATGTTAAATTGAAAATAGCAAAAAGGTCAGATGCATTCACTTTTTCCCATTTGTGGGCTTTTTCCTGGTATAAGTAAGTTATAATTCCACATAATATGGTTTGAACTTTCACAATATGTAACTGTTTTCCATAGGCAGTGTGCAATATTGCCCCTCGTGGTGTTTACGTTTGTGGCAATACCACCACTACCTCAGGCTTGACTGTAACTCTGTCTAGAGATAGTACTTCTGGAGATTTTGCTTTGGAAGCTGGTGCTCTGGTGCTTGGAGATCAAGGTAAACTAAATTGCAACTAAATCAAACGGACAAATGTATTAGCTAAACTTTTCCTCTAGATTTTTTTTTCCTCTAGATTTTTTTCCTCAACCTAATTAATTTTTAAAATCTTATTGAATCTATGATTCAATAAACAGTATCTTATTGAAACTGCTACTAATCAGTGTTCCCTGTAAGCTGATACTGTTTATTGAAACTGCTACTAATCAGTGTTCCCTGTAAGCTGAGTGCTTGGGTGGCCTCCCAGAAGAGTTTCAAATGCCGCTCAGCTGATTAGCAGAGCACTCAGTCTCTCTCAGTTGGCAGCATATGTTTCTGTTGGTAGTGCACATTTGCACATGCATTTGTGCACATAAAATGTATTCTGCACATGGATGGAAAAATGAGGGAACATTGCTACTAACTATAGCTCTTAAGCTAACTTTCTTTTTTGAATAACTTTATTTTCAAGCTTTAGATCTTAAGAAATGTGTGCAGATGTTCAAAATGTAATTCTTCACTGTTTGCTGGTATCCTAGGTATGTATATACTTGCACCCTAGTTCGAACTAGGGATATAAATGCAGGCATTCAAAATAGTCTATGAAGCAGGGATTTAAATATCCCGCGCTTCATTAGCATGATCTCGCTGGCGTGTTACTCCGAATGCCAGCTGTTTTGAAAGTGAAAGTGCGCGCCGGGATGCGTTAGTTCGAAAAAAATGAGGAGTAACGTAAGTTCAAACCAAGGGGGTTAGCTTGAACTAACGCGATCATTGTTTTTGGTCCACCTTCTCTGGGGCACCTGGTGCTGGTCACTGTCGGCAGACAGGCTACTGGGCTAGATGGACCTTTGGTCTGACCCAGTACGGCTGTTCTTATGTTTTTACTAATTTGATCCCTGCCTGTAATATTTGCCCATCCGAACTTGCAAACCTGCCAGTAGGGCCCAGCGGCAGCCTGGAAGGGAAGCAAACAATGCTAATAAGAACATTGCAGTGAGTGGTGTTTGGCTCAGGTGCAGCACTGGATCTGTGGCATATATCTGGCCATTGAACTGTGTGCGTGTGCGCGTGCTTTTTAATTCCTTGTATTCTGTGTTAATTCTGTTTCCAGGTATTTGTGGAATAGATGAATTTGATAAGATGGGAAGCCAACACCAAGCTTTGCTGGAAGCCATGGAACAGCAAAGTATCAGCCTTGCTAAGGCTGGCATTGTTTGCAGCTTGCCAGCTAGGACATCCATCATTGCTGCAGCAAACCCAGTTGGGGGACATTATAACAAGGCCAAAACGGTCTCTGAGAATTTAAAGTAAGCGCTCTTTGAAATGTTAATTGTGTAGCTTGCAAGAGAAGGTGCTTTTTTTTTCAAGTCAGTTTGTGAATAATGTTGCTCTAGTTCTCGGGAGAATGAAAGTAGGTTTTCTTAGAACATGGCTTTGATTTCTTGTGATTGCTCTTTGACTGTACTTGTGAAGCAGGGAAATAGGTAAAGTCACCAGAGAGTTCCATTGTGTCTTTTTTTTTTTTTTTTTTTTTTAATAAGCAATGTATTTTATTTTTTTTTTGTCTAGAATGGGGAGTGCCTTATTATCCAGGTTTGACTTGGTGTTTATCCTGCTGGACACTCCGAATGAAGATCATGACCATTTGCTTTCTGAGCATGTGATGGCAATGCGAGCTGGGAAACAGGCAGTGCACAGCAGCGCCGTCGTGACTCGCACCAACACACAAGATTCGAACACCTCCCTCCTTGAGCCAGTCTCAGATAAACCATTATTAGAAAGATTAAAGGTAGAATTGTCTCCTTTGATTTTGTTTTGCATCTCCCCACCCTGCATCTCCCACTGGAACCAGTGCAGGCTGTCTGGTGGTGCAGGATCTCAGCGGTCTCCCTCCAATTTCCACCTGGGGAACCAACTACGGCCTTAAAGAGCACTGGAATGTCTATAGAAAGTCTCCATGCTCCACGGTTCCTGCCAGTTGCCTGCAGTAGCAGCTCTTGCAGGGGAGATGGTGGTAAATTGAGGCATGCCTTGTTCCACAGAACTACCTTCCCACCACAGTGTAGCTGTCAGATTTTCTCAATTCTTTTAACTTTACATTATTTTGCTATTGGGGTTGGTAGTTCCTTCATCTACCAATGCTGCTTCTTGGATTCCCTTGCCTTCCTCGCCCATTTCCCCACCTCTGAACACTCTCCCTTGCTCCTACAGCCTCTTCCTCCATTTCAATCCCGGGTTCTCGCCTTCCTCACCCATTTCCCCACCTCTGAACACTCTTGCTCCTACAGCCTCTTCCTCCATTTCAATCCCGGGTTCTTTCCTTAATGAAGACAAATGTTAATGATTAACTTCCAAGTAACCGTATCATTTTTGTTTATCCTGCCCTCTCTTATCCCACTTGACTCTTCATTTCTTCCCTGGTGTGTTTTCTGTCTTTCTCCCTGATCCTGCAATGATCTTTGTGTGGGTACCTGTTGGTCTTTGAGGCTCCATATGTGCATAGAAATCCACCTGGTTGGTATTTAAATAGAAGATCAGAACTCTTCAGGGACTGTCTTATTTTATATAAATTTTAGAGATTTGAATACTGTGTAAATCTGGCGTAACTTAAGAGTTCAAGACCATGAAAGATATGTTCATAATTGACTAGGTCATGCCTGGAGAAAGTTTTGATGCCATTCCACACCAGCTATTGAGGAAATACGTTGGATATGCTCGGCAGTATGTTCACCCAAAGTTATCTCCAGAAGCTGCTCAGGTCCTCCAGGATTTCTATCTTGAGCTCCGGAAACAGAACCAAGGAGTAGACAGCACACCTATCACTACAAGGCAACTAGAGTCCCTGATTCGACTTACAGAGGTACCCTTGCAGCTGTAGCCTCTTTTGTTTCTAGCACCCTAAGTATTATTTAATGTAGCCAGAAACTGCTGATGGCTAATGTGACCAAGTGGTTTTAGTGAATAAGGAGAGTCCACACAGCTAGTTAGTGTGCGTGTGGCCAATGCATTGAAGACATACACCCCAGTTTCCTGCATGCTAACTGGCTTTGTAAACAAGCCCTTAAATTCTCAACCTCAGAATAGGAGGAGAGAGAATAGACTTCAAGGGAGCAGTCTGTAATGGATTTGTGATTTCTGGCCTCCTTTTGCTCTCAGAGTTTCTGTAGATCCTTCCAATCAATCCTTCACAGCAAAAGGAGTACCCTGATATTATTCCAGCTTTTCTTTCCAAATATCTGAAAAGAACTCCAGGGTGAATTAGAGAAAATTAGAGGCAAGAAGCTCAATGTGATGTTATAATATGAAAGGTTACAATCCTTTATTTTAGGCCTATGCTGTCAGGAAGGCCAACAGAGGCACACGCAGGTACATGCAGACAAAGAATCTTACACCCTTTATGCTGTTCTGAAGGGGTTGAGTGGACAATACAGCCATTTCAGCTTATTTTTCCCTAAAATCCATTAGACTGTGGCTCATTAACTAATACAGTCTTTTGATATTCCACAGCTCCAGCAGAGATAGTAAGTTAAAACAGCTTTTCCATTCCAAACTATATATCTAAGCGCTGCTGTGCACTGCCTGTGAAAGAAAAGGTAAACTGGGATGCTAGATGGATGTTCTGGATCTTGCTTATGCACCAAAATAAAATTAAACCATGTGTAGCTATCAAACTCATAAGGCCAAATCCTGATGACTCTTTAAATGGCTGGTGCATAAAACCCAGACTGTATAAGGAGCTGTGAAGGGCTTTCCCAGCCTTTACATAACAGAAAAATCTCCCAGGCTGGGAACTTGCACAGCCCTCCATAGATCCTACTCCCCTTTTCTCCCTTGCTGTCTGCCAATAGGGAGAGGGATTCAGGGATACTTACCTGGCTTTTCATGCCTTATTCAGGAGCATCAGGGGGTAGCTGAGTTAGTCTGTTACAGGGAAAAAAAAAACAGCAAGCAAATAGTCTGGTAGTACTTTATAGACTAACAATCTACATGTTTTGTTAGTCTATAAAGTGCTACCAGACTGACTAACAATCTACATGTTTTGTTAGTCTATAAAGTGCTACCAGACTGACTAACAATCTACATGTTTTGTTAGTCTATAAAGTGCTACCAGACTGACTAACAATCTACATGTTTTGTTAGTCTATAAAGTGCTACCAGACTGACTAACAATCTACATGTTTTGTTAGTCTATAAAGTGCTACCAGACAATTTGCTTGCTGTGTTTTTTCATACCTTATTGTTATTGTCATTTATATGAATGCAGTGTTCTAACAGCTTGTTGCTGTCCAGAGAACACGGTGTTAAAAAGCAGATCAGAGATTTTTCAAGACTACAACTCTCTAACATAGTTTCGAAGGTGGGAACACTGCTATTTACTGATAGGGCCTTCTCCTGTGATTATTAGAAATTTGTGGGAGTTTGTGAGTCCTGCAGGATCAGGTACTAAGTATGTTCTTAGTGCTTGATATAACCTTTGTGAATGAATGATGGAAACTAAGCCCTTTTTATGTGGTGGATACCATATAACTGTAGCTTAATTATTAATTTTTTTTTTTGTGCTTAAGGCACGATCAAGGTTGGAATTAAGGGAAAAATCAACCAGAGAAGATGCTGAGGATGTAATTGAAATAATGAAATACAGGTAGTGTACATTGTTAAAATCAGAACAAAGAGTGCTATTCCTTTACAGATATTGTTCTTCATTTTATGCAAACAAGAGACTGCTTACATAGTGTGGTTCAGACCATTGATATTTATATACAAAATTCTATAGGCTTTCTTTTAAAACTCCATCTTTGGTTTTGGCTGTACAACATGGTCATTTATTGTTAATTTTATTGTGTGGCTCATGACCACTGAGTATAGACAACTCAAAGAAAGATTTAAGTTTGAATTTACAAGGCACTAAAATTAATATTTTCAAAGTTCACGAAAAAGTTGAGGCAACAATTTAAAAACTGTGTTTATGGGCACAGCGAGTTAACAAGAAACTAAGTTTTTTTGTACTTTAACTGAATTACATGAAAAATATGCTCAAACTAATATCTCAAATGTGAATTCTGCAGCAATCCAAGAACACCTCTTGGGGCCAACATCAAGCTTAAATGAATATTTTCCTCCAATTGATGCCAGTAAAATGTGGATTAAGGACCCGTTTACTGTTGACACTGAAAATGAAGAAATACTACAATTGAGTGCATCAGAAGTGGATTCATTAATTGAACTTTCCTGTGACTATGCCTTAAGAGAACTTTGATAAACTCTCCTTGATTGATTTTTGGTTGAGCTGTAGAAATGAATATTCACATTTATCTGAGAAAGCAGTCAAATTCTCAATGCCTTTCATCATGACATGTAAGTGTGAAACTAGTTTCATCTTTGGTTGTCTTCAAAAATAAATATAGAAATAGATTGAATGTTGAACCAGATTTGAGGATAAAACTTTCTTTTGCTCCTGACAAAGTTGTTGTGATGCAAAACAACATCACCCTTCCCATTAGTTCTCTTTTTAGTTACAGGCAGTCCCAGACTTACACAGATCCGACTTATGTCGGATCCGCACTTACGAACGGGGCTTTCTCGCCCCGGAGCTCACAGGCAGCGGTCAGCCACCTCGACCTCTGGGGCAAGAAAAGCTGCTCCCGGTGCCCCTGGTCTGCTGGGGACGGTCTCCAGCAGACCAGGGGCACCAGGAGCAGCTTTTCTCGCCCCGGAGGTCAAGGTGGCGGATCGCTGCCTGCGAGCTCTGGGGCGAGAGAGCCCCGTTCGTAAGTGCAGATCCAACATAAGTCGGATCCGCATAAGTCGGGGACTGCCTGTAGTGAAGACCTGCTAATTCAAACAGAGTGCCTGTTTTGGTGCTGGTACTCCTGATCCTCACAAGGAGTAAGGGAAGCTGACAGGATCGTTTGCTCCAATTGACCTCCTGTTGATTTAAGATACGTAGTTAACATAGCTGGAGTTGCATATCCTAAGTCGACCTTCTCCATTAGTTTAGACATGCCCTAAATGTTTTCCCACTTTCTTACAGGCTGACTTCTTGCTGTGAACTGATTTAAGGACAAAGGTGTTTCAGACAGGCCACTAGTGAAGGCCTCCAAATAGTTAGCTTTATTCCTAGTGGATGGAGTTGTAGTTTATGGGCCCGTTTGGAGAGCTGAGACTTCATTGACTTCAGTAACTCCATTTTTATATTATAAATATTTCAGACAACTAGCATGACCCTATCTTATCCAATCATTTCTGCCTTTACCTCCTGTTGATTCTCGCTTGTCTGGTGTTTTTTTTTTTTTAGTATGCTAGGAACTTATTCTGATGAGTTTGGTAAACTGGACTTTGAGCGTTCGCAGCATGGTTCTGGAATGAGTAATAGATCACAAGCAAAGAGATTTGTTTCTGCCCTCAACAATATTGCAGAACGAACTTACAACAACCTCTTTGAATTTCAGCAGCTTCGGCAGATTGCAAAGGAGTTACAAATAAAAGTAAGCTTCAGGGGGTAGCCGAGTTAGCTTGTACAGGGTAAACTTAAAAAACAACAAATGGTCTGGTAGCACTTTATAGACTAACAAAACATATAGATAGTGGTATGTGCTTTCGTGGGCACATCTGAAGAAGTGGGCTGTGCCCATGAAAGCTCATGATACCATCTACTGTATATGTTTTGTTACTTTTATTTGGTCTGGTAGCACTTCATAGACTAAGTGGAGAAATTCAGATTCTCTTAACATACTTTAGAAGTCATTAAAATGATCAGCTGAGAAATTAATTTTCTGTGTAGCATAAACAAGAGCATTTTTATGTTGATATTTATAAACTGTACATTTTTAGATGGAGGTGAGATGGAGGCAAATCAAGACAGTCATCTTTTACCAAGCCTTCAAGTGATCCAAATGTTTGTGGTAGACGTTAAACCCATCACACAAGTTTCTTTTCTTAATTCATTTTAAAAAATGTAAAAATTGTAACATACCTTGCTTTATATCAGGCATAATAAATATTGTTTCTCACACTGAAAAAACATATTTCTCATTTTGTTTTTCTTCCAGGTATCTGATTTTGAAGGCTTTGTTGGGTCTCTAAATGACCAGGGCTATCTTTTGAAAAAAGGTCCAAGAGTTTATCAGCTTCAAACTATGTGAAGGAACCGCTACAATGAAAGCAGATGTTCTTGATGCACAGTAACACTATTTGAAATGGAATAACTAGTGGATATGTGGCAGCAGGCATCCCTTACCACATAACTTGCAGTCTACTAAGGATATTCCTAAATAAATTTTACAGATGCCCAAAGCCGCTAATAGCTGAGTCCTGACAATCCCCAAAGAACTGCCCTTTAAAAGCAATATTTTCAAGAATGAGTGACACTACCATATTTACTTCCAGAAGTGTTGTCATAAGGGATGGTATTTTATGCTGCCATTTGGAGGTATTGTATTTCATATAAGAGTTATTTGAGATGAGGAATGCCATCATCAAAAGTAATAGCAAAAGGAGACTCTGTATTTACATTCATCCTACCGAAGGATAGGATAGCTCAAATAACTCAAGATTCCTGGTGTTACTTTAAAAGGAATAGAAATATTACAGAAAGTATTTTCTCAATCAGAAATGGTAATATTGGAAAGTTCTGAGAGAAACCCAGATTTTAGTAGTTAACTAAATAGTTTCATTACGATTTTGAAATGTTTACAAGAAATGGCTAGTTTTCATGCTTAGGCTCTATGCCAGGTATAGTTTTAAGGAACGAGGCATTTAATTGAAATAAATTAATTTATTTATTTAAAGTTGCACTTTTGCAGCTCACTATTTAAAGATCTGCATATACTGTATTTTAAATGCTACTCGGAAAAAATCAGACTTCAGTTGTACATACTAAATATTGCAGAGGCGAAAGAGAATGTATTATACATACTTCATTAGATGTAACATTAAAGTCAAATTTGGGATTTAGTCAACAAATGACATTAAATGCTTACTATTAACAATATTATGGAAATTTTAAAGCAATTTTGTCATAAATGTACATTTTGTCTATTCATTTGAATTATTCCAACTGTATGTTAAACTAATTTAAACAAGGACATCCCACAAAAGTGAGGCAGTAATATATATAAAAGCTGCTGCTTGTGATACCTGCTAATCTAGTTTTTTTTCCCCTAAAGTCATTCCTCTTCCCACAATAGTGATGCAAGATGAGGAACATGTCTGAAATAGAGATGTTAAATAGGGATTAGGAAGCTAATCAAGTGGTCGATGGAATTTCCATCAACTACTTGATTAGTCGATAAGGGGGTTCACTGTGACTCTGCTTTTTAAATATAGTAAGAGTCATCAGACTCTTGCTACATTTAAAAAGCAGAGGCGCAGCATCTGGGACCCAGTGCAAGCCCGGACTGCTTAGTCCTGGCTTACACTGTTTCCCCTGTTGCACCTCTGCCTCCCCCTCCCCTCCCCTGCCTCTGATACGGGGAGGGGGGAGCGACTAGTCGAGTAGTGATTCATCTACCTGATAAGCCTAGTCTTATCAGTTAATCGACTAGTCAATTACATTCCTAGTCTGAAATGTTACATATTGAGGCCATGACAAAGATAATTTTTTTTTTATTGTAAGATGACCATGAAGGTTTTCTGTTTTAAAATTTTGTTTCTGATCTTTTCCATCTTTTTGTTTTTGTTTTGAGACAGATTATTGCTTATTTAAGAAGCACTGATTTTTTAAACAAATTCAATAAATTTTCCTCAAATTGTACTTAAAGAAGCATCCTGTGCCTTTGAAGTTCTGTGCTTTGAGATGAAATCCTAGAGCGTGCAAGAAAAATTTAGGATTCCTTCACCAGCACACAATTTAAAGCTCCAGTCCTCCAAGGGGCTCAAACTGGACAGCTCCTTTATTAACATGGGAAATCAGATGGATTATTGTAGGGGTAAGGATCTGTCCATTAAGAACCTTTTTTTAGGGATCAGGGCCTAACAGGGGAAAAAAGTCTATGGGGAGTTATTTCAGTTATTATAGGTCTTCATTTTAAAACAAAACAAAAATGACAGAGTGCTTTTAAGACATTTTACTTGCTTGAACTTAAAACTGGAAATCCTTATTGTTCTGACTTCTATTTATTGACAATTCCTTGTTGTTAAAATATTGTGTAGTATGTTTGCTGCATTATCTGCAGTTAAATATGTCTTCGCTCAGATTGAGTTAGTCATCAAATATTTTAATATTTTCCAAATCTATATAACAAATCAGCTCAAACTGCAAAATTCTCATATTGTGTGACTTTTTTTTGTTTGTTTCTGTTTTTAGAGAGGCAGTAACATTGCAGTAGCAGCCTCCAGTGGCTTTGATTATTTGGCTGCTAACACAAATGTACTGTAATTCTTTCGTAGGTTACTCTATAAATGAATTGTCTGAACTTTAATTCAGAAACGGATTTATCAACTGTGGAATAGTTAATGAAGGGACAAAAACCATATTCATGAGTTCTTTAAAGGTCTGATCCAAAGCCCATTAGAGTCAACAGAATGGCTCCTGTTAATTTCCATGAGGTTTGGGTTGTATATAATTTTTCTTGAGCCCTTATAAACAAGGATTTTCCCAACTAAAATACCTGAGTAGTACCTGAAAATGTCAAAGAAATTTTAAGCTACCCATCATTGCTTCAATATCAAACACCTTGCATGTGCCTGATACTTGTACACCATCTTGAGTAGTGAGACCCAAGGCAAAAATATGCACCTTAAGAAATAATGGGTTCTAATATGTATATTAACTAGGGATGCTAGCATCACCCTTACCAGTTAACTGATGCTTACTGTTGATCTTCCGTTCAGTAATGACATGGCCTGAGTCATGCCTTCATACACCCACTGGATACCAGGTGGTGATTACATCCATGGATCTGCTCCTGATTGGGTGATATTTACTTTTGGGGTTTCTATTGTGGCTGTCCAAAAAGTTCTACAGGTAGGTATTTGTTACTGATGTCAGATAAAGGCTTCATCTACACTGTGGAGTTTTTGTGCAAAAACAGCTGTTTTGTGCAAAAACTTGCGGAGTATCTACACTACAAGTGCGTTTTTGCTCAAGAAAAAGTACAGTAGATCGTCAGAAGACAGGGCTTTATGCGCAAGAGTTATTCCTTTTTCTACGAGGAATAAGCCTTTTTGCGCAAGAGCTCTTGTGTAAAACGGCGTGTGTGGATGGACAACAGGGGTTTCTTGCGCAAGAAACTCCTATCAGAGCTTTCTTGCGCAAGAGTGTCCATGGCAGTGTGGATGCTCTCTTGGGCGAAAGCACATGGTAGTGTGAATGTGCTCTTGCGCAAGAACTTTTTGCGGAAGATCTCTTCAGCAAAAAGTTCTTGCGCAAGAAGCCAGTAGTGTAGACGTAGCCTTTAAAGAGAGAGAGTAGGATTTCTTCAACAGCTATTGGTTTTATCCAAAAGATTTAGAAATGTTTTGTTTCCTTTTTTGGATTATTTCAGCTAGCCTATTGGGGGAAATATTGGGATATTAATAAGAACCTGATTAAGTAATTTTGGTTTTCTGAAGTTTATTCTTTCTGAGCCTGAAGTTGGCATCTGGGAGAGGAGCAAATGCTCTGGGATTAGGGACTTTCCATATGTTCTACAGAAAATGGCAGCTAAACTTTTGGAAAGAAGAAAAGGTTTTTTTGAAGTTCTGTTTCTAAGAAAGGTCTATAAGGTGCCACAGGACTCCTCGCTGCTTTTTCAGATTCAGACTAACACGGCTACCCCTCTGATACTCTGCTTCTAAGGACTCCTAAAAGGATCACTGGAATAAAGGTGTTGAGCTCTCTTCTAAGGCAAATCAGGCTATTCATTACAAGACTCAAAGAGCTTCAACCAAAAAATTCTGTTAGAGAAATGAGCTAGGAAAAGTGTGAACAAAGCAAAGTTGATTGAAACCATGCTGGGTATTGAACCAGTAGGCAAACGACAAATGGAACATCATTACCTGCATCAATGTTATTTTTGAGTAAAACCGAAACAAAGACTGCCCCAAGCTAACTGGAAAAAATGTCTGTCTACATGTAGAGCTAGCCAACAGCTGTAGGTGGACAGAAAACTAAACAGGTCTGTTGGCTGGAAAGACAAAGAAATATTACAGAAGAGGTAAATGGAAAGGAAGTGTCTAACACTATGGTTGATACAACACGCTAGTGACTAGCCACAGGCAGCTATTTGGCCAGTTGACTTGAACAATTATTCATTATTTCAGAATAATATGGCTAGTTCACTATAGCAGTAGTCAATATAATGGCTAATGCTTCAGAACTAGTTGGACACCACATATGCTGTTAAAAAGGAAAAAATTACAATACTCGGGTTAGTCAGTGTATGACTAAAGAGTTCCAAACTAGTAAAAACCAGTTGTAGGAATTTCTTTTTGTTTTTTTATGAAAGCTCATGATACTATATATTTTTGTTATTCTCTAACGTGCCATAGCACTACTTGTTGCTTTTAAAGTTACAGATTAATATGGCTACCCCTCTGAGACTTATGAGATAAATGAGCCTAATAAAAGAAACTTCTGAAACTTTCTGTTAAAAAGAAACTGTTAATTTACCATATTTCTTATGACTTGGAAAATTAAAAGTGAACTTCATATTAAGTTATATTAAATCATAAATTTCAACCTTGTATGAAACTGTAAACATAGACTATAACTATTGAAGTTAACTTACATTTTGGGGTGAATGATTGTTAAAATAGTATTGTACTCATAAATGGTCAGTTAGAGATTGAGTATAGCTATGTAAAAAGAGATTGACACTCTTATTGGGGCAATTCTTCAGCTCAAATAAGAGTGTGTAAGATGTAAGTGTTGTATAAGTGGCTGTCTCACTTTTCCGTTCACTCTAGATTTTCAGTATTTTACAAATGTAATATAGATTTTCTATGGACATTTTTTTTCTTTTTTAATCTTAAAACATGAAGATTTCTCTGTTGTATATCACATTGGGCACTTACTTTTTTTCCTCATTTGAACAAGCCAATATTTCAAGTACTTGCAGAAGAGCTTCAGTTGAGTACAGTTCTATTCTGCCAGTCTGGTCTGTGAAAATGGCATTGTGGGGTTTATATTTAATTTCCCAATGATTTTTGCTCAGATAAGTAGTACTGAAGGGTTTTTTCCCCCCCTAACTGCCAGCTTTAAAAACTCAACTTTTTGCCCAGAAAGTCAAAACCAGGTTCTTTCCATCTCATTTATTTCCAGTAATAAAGGGCAGATAAACACTTGATGTAAATTGTGAAATCCCACTGACGTCAGTAGGCTCTTACTTTATATCTACATCTTGTTGGGTGTACACAAAAATGCAGTCTGTCATATTTATCAACGTTCTTGCCTTTCATAATTCTTGGAAGCATCAGCAAGTAATGTTTAATAGTTTTTGCTATTTGATCAGTTTAAACAATCCTGTTCATAGTGTATCTTTTGAAATAAAAAAATGTCTGTTTTGCTCTTGAAGTTTAGGCCTGAGAGCTTTGCTCGGGTATTCTCATGAGCAACAGCAACCCCTGCTCTCCTCTTTCCATTTGGGCAAAACTCTAAAAAGCATCTATTTCTGAGAATTTCCCACCCTATAGCACTAATGTGGCGCTTTCACTTTTAAAATGAAGAAAAAAAAATCTCTATTTGTGTCTCGCTTCAAAGTTCTTATCTGCTCAACTATTTATTTAGGAAAAACAGAAAGCCCAACTTCTGCCAATCACTATAAAATCTGAAACCATTCAGAGGCTGAACAATACTGAACTGTATCGGAGCCCCCTTCCCTTCATCTACTATTATAAAAGCAAACTCCATTCAGGAAGGGCAGATATACTTGCAAGGCATCAGCATGCATGTATGTATTTATTGATTTCTTGATTATCTCAAACAGCTAAGAGGCATTTTTGATAATGTGTTTGCAGTTACTGTATAAGGTTTCCAGAATCAATGTTTGTATATGGTTAAAAGCCCCCAAGCTACTGCTACCTCCAGTCTAGTCCCTTGTGCTCTTACTAACTGTAACTTTAAATACAAAAGTGTTGCCAACTCTCATATTTTTTCTTGAAGCTCCAGGTTCTGAAGTGAGTGTGAGACTTTCCTTTCATTTTTTAAAAAAAACCTTGTCTTTATGGTTGCTGAGAATTGCTTGGAACTATGCCATGAGTCTTTTCCCCTTTCCCTTAAGCTTAAAAAAATTATGACAATTTAAAAAAAGCATGAGCCAGCCAACGATTGGAGAATAGGGAACAAGGGGAGAGGACAGCTTGGTTTGCTCACTTCTTTTTTTTAATGCTGGGGCGTGGCAATACTATTTTCACATTGAAATCTTGGCTTTTAGACACTAATTTTGACAATCCTAAATGTTAAGTTTTAAAAGTGAAATTACTAAGGAAGATTGCTGTAGACAAATTACATCTAGGAGCTAACTCCCATCTCCTTTGACCTTCCTGCCTTCCTTTGTATAAAGGGGAAATAAGACTCTCCTGATGATCCTATGGTGCAGGGCTCTGAGTGCCCTGCCCCAGTTTACAATCTTTTAGACACCCTTGAAATATTTCTTGTCCCATAAATTTGTTGCTACCTTCATTGTTCACTTGATTCACTTGGGCTACGTCTAGACTGCAAGCCTCTTTTGAAAAAGAGTGTCTAGACTGCAAGCAGTACTTTTGAAAAAGCAAGCCACTTTTTCAAAAGAAAGCACCCAGGCAGTCTGTATGCTCTCTTTTGAAAAAGCCTTGTTTGCATTCAAGAACGCCTTTTTTTTGAAAGAGCACTTTTGAAAAAAGGCATTCTTCCTCGTGAAATGAGGTTTTCTGTTAAAAGAAAAACTACATTCTTTCGATTTAATTTGGAAAGAACTCAGCTGTAGTCTAGATGTAAGTGAAGTTTTTTCGAAAAAAGGCTACTTTTTTCCGAAAAAACCCTGCAGTCTAGACACAGCCTTAGGCTATGTCTACACTGCCACCCTAGTTCGAACTAGTGTGGCTAATGTAGTCATTTGAAATTGCAAATAAAGCTCAGGATTTAAATATACTGGGCTCTATTTGCATGTTCCTGGGCCCCGACATTTTAAAAGGCCCTGTAGTTTGAACTACCTGCCCGCAGCTACAGGCAGCATGGGCTAGGCAGGGGGCTCCCTGGAGGTGGGGGGGGGGGGGGGGG